CTGGGCTTTTTAAAGGTTTAGTTACAGATACTGAATAGATCCCTCCGATTCACCAAGACCAGGTCACATAATAATGACCTTTGTACATTTAATTTCTATTTCTGAAAAGAAAATCTGTATTTAAAACTATAAATATAAATATATCAGATAACACATAATGTTAGCTGACAGTAATGCTGTATATAACTGTATAGTATTGTTTTATGATGTCATTATTAACTGATATATCAAGTGATTTCTGTTTTTACTTTTTTTTATTAAAACACCTTTGTATCATTGCTTTGAAAAGTCTTTGGTTATTAAGAGAACCACTAGTGAATCTAGGTCACAAAACTGTGTTGCACTGACACTGGGGGAGACCAGAGGAAACTTCTAACTGGGCCTTGTGTAACATGCTGACGCTTTTTTTAGACATGATTGGCTAATAGAGTGGTTGACATCTTGACTGTTAGCCTGTTGTTTCTTTTGTTCAGTTTCCCATATTTTGTAACTCCATCAATCATGTATGTGTACTACCTAATTGCATTCTGGACAACAGTCGTGACACAGCAACATGTGTTGACAGGGCTGAGAATAATGTAAAAAAAAATCAGATTATAATGAATTCTTAAACCACAATGTTAGGCTGTTCAAACCAGAGGACAACCAGAGGAATGGTGGACAGTACAGCTGGCAAAGTTCTGACAAGTATCCACAAATGTCTTCATACTCTACTATTAAACACACGTGTGTGAAAACTTTGAAGAGAAAATACTTTCTTCTTTTTTCCCCCCTGGCACCATAGCTGTCTATCTACCACTTCCCAAACATTTTGATAAATAAAAATTGTGAATCAACAGTTGACAAATATGTTGACACAGTTCTTTTCTCTGAAGCTTAGAAGACACACGTTGAGAATAAGAAGACATAGGAAAACAGGTCTTTGGACGTTGGAGGCAGTCCCAGCACAAAGTTGTCCCTGTCTAACAGGACCCCCCCCCCCCATGCCCTTTCTTTGGCATGGTTGATATGCTGCTCATGTCTGTGGGATCCTGTGTGTTTTCCATCTTGCAGAGCGGCTCGGTGAACCTGGGCCTATCTGTGGTAATGTTCTGCTGCGTGGCCTGGGGCCACTGTGTCACTGCCCCAGCCTTCCTTCCTGCCTCGGCTCAGGGCCGAGCCTACAGTGCAGGATGGGAGATAACCTGCTAATCGCTCGGCACAGTCCCCTCAGGGCGATAACGCTGACACTTTCTGCATCCACATGTGTCTTCTCAAGAAGTTTAAATGTCCCTCTGACATGTGCGTTCTAATCAGCTGTTCTTCTGCTGCACGTCTCCTCCTTTTAACCCCATTCACCAGAAGCCAGGATGTGTTTCATTAATTATGGCTACCATGAATCAAATGATGATCCCTGAATAATTAAGTAGTAACTGTTAGACCAGTAAGTCCACTAAGACCTCCTTACAAATGTGCTTGTATTTATTTTTAGTGTAATTAAATAATGTGTGTCTACTGAACCTGGAGTTAATACCTAAAAAATAATTCTGTTTTTATATGTGTGAATGTCTTCAGTGTTTTTATAGGCTGTGGTCACTCCTAGAGGTGTGGGCCTTCCCTCATTCATCATGACCTCGTGACCTCTAGACTCTCTGTGCTTGACAGCACCTTGTTGGAGCCTCGTGGCTTCCACACTGGAGCAGCCGACTGTCTGGTGGTAGAGCAGCTGAGTATTTGAATAGATTTGGGCTCATGTCTGCACTGGTCTGGGGACTGGTGTGCAGTGCAGCAGCCGACTGGAGGACATGCTAAATCTATATATAGAGTCCGGCTCCAAAGCAGCCTCTTTTATGTGTGCTTTTAATTATTTATTTGACGGCTCCGTCCATGAAGGACACCTTGGCCGCAGGTCGTCGGTCTTAGTTCATCAGTTTAGGAGGTAAGAGCAGCTCAGGCTCCTCTGCCTGGATCCAGATTGTCATTCTGTTTACTTCTGTAAGAATAATATTCCTTTTTTGTTGCCAGTGAAGCCCACAACAGGCTCTGCCTAACCTGAAACATTTTTTCAGCTACAGTTGTGGCCGAGACTGATTTGCAGATCTGCTGCTGTAGCTCATATTTATAGTCTGCATGGGTTTTGTAATTACTCCATTTGGTAGGGTTGTGTCTTCGACTGTGCAGCTCAGCGGGCAGCACGCATCAGTAAAAGAATGCTAAATACATGGGACTAAAAGTGTATACGGCATGGTGGGTCAAACCTCAGATTTGGCAGCGTTTCCTTTGTTGTCCACACTTGTGCTCCAGCCCCGAGGAAACCATCTGCTTGTCAGTGAAAAAATGCTTGATCGTTCTTTTACAGGGTTTTTGAATCAAAACTTAATTATATGTTTATACAAAGCAGACAAACAAAAAAAACACTTTTGTCACTGCCATGATGTTTTTCTGATGATGCTGGCTCATTTGCATTTGCAATCAGCATTTTGATTACCACCAACAAATTCTATACAAGTCAGTGTGAATTGACATTGATCTAATCAAACATTGTTCATTTTTACTTTGGTGATCCTGGTCTTTCTCTTTTCTCTTCTTACTAGCCGAGGCGAAGGCCCATGTGACGTAAAGAGCAGAGAAGGTGGGGAAAGCTCTTCCTCCGTGTGATGTCACACTGCTGCAACCGCTTGCTGGTGATAAGACAAGTGTGCAACTTCACATCCACAAATGTGGTCTAAGTTCTGCTATCATTTGTCTGCAGCTGATCAGCAGCAGAATTAGAATAGTAAACACACACTGTCAAAGACATGCTGTGTCCTCTCCTGTGGTAAATATGTACTGGATGACGCACACGGACAATTTCTGGTTATTGCTGATATTAGGACAGCATTCTGATTGCTGGTAGCAGCAAATTGTTTTATGTGACTTTATCCAACATGTCTGTTTCCATGCCTCAAAACTTCCTAGGTAAACAGTCACTTTATCAGCTCTGCCGTGAGCTCATTCATCGATCGCTCCCAACAACTTATTAGCCATTGTGACAGTTTCCTGAGTCGACAGGGGGAAACTGGGAGGTATGCAGATAAAGTTCTCAGAAACATAGAGCACAATACCTATTGTTTTTTTAATCACAGGTCAAATACCTACATAGAAAATGTTTTACACAAAATATCCTCTGCTGCGTATCACAAGTGATTGTAAAAAAAAAAAAGAAATGGAGGAAATACCATTGTACCAAAACCAAAACAACCATTGACAATGATGCTGTGTACTTCCAGTAAAAGTTTGATCATAAATTACAGGTACAGTCAACATTCTGGTTGTGGGATGGTAAATATTTGGTCACGTAAAACAGTAATCACTAGGGTACTTCAGGTACAAATTGTTCTAGAAACAAACTAAAGTATCCACACCACAGCAGCCTAAATAGTACAGCACTGTATGTTGGTATTATTTAAAAACGTGTAGTTCCCCCTTACTCCTCTGAGGGCAGCGCTTTATGTGTAGTAGGAATGTCTTGATCCATGGGTTGAGGATGTTGGTGAAATGTTATTGTTTAATATGAACCTAATCCTGTCAGTACTGTCAGCTGGCTACAATCACCGTGTAGAGCCTCCTGGTGTGAGTGGCTGTAAGTCTCCAATAAGAAAAAAAAACACTTTACTTTTGAACACTATATATATGAAACAAGACCAAACCCTGATTTAGTGATTTATATTGGTCAAGGGCAGGGTACCCTTTGGACAGTTCGCCTGTCCATCAGAGGGCCACATAGAGAGACAAACAACCATTCACACCTAGATTAATTAATTAATTAATACCAACATACCAATCAGAGTGCCCCATCAACCTATCAATATCAAGAATGTCCAATAATTGTATGATCTTGTAGATGTAGGACACAAGGGCGCTGACCTCTGTGCATGGTGTTCCTCAACACAACACAATAAGGATGTGCAGCCGTTAGGATGTGGAGACACTTCTGTAGCAGCTGTCAGAGACCTTTAGGAATCGGCTGACGTGTTCTGAAGCGTCAACATGTCCTGTTTGTCACTGGGTGTTCATCCTTGACAGGAGCAGTCAGTTTAGAATGAAAAATGTTTTCACCTATCACCTTTCATGAATTCAGCAGAGCGTTCACAGATCAACACTCACATTTTAGAGACCTGTAAACATCAACGGTACAAGCTCAGAGCAGGTGTCAATGGAGAATCCTCAATAAAAATGCCAAAGAACGAAACTGTAAAATGTTCAAATTGTAAAGAGAACGTACGTCATGTTAATGGTCATGCTCTTGTCAAAGGCAAAACTGCGACGTAAATAACCCACCTGATGTCACTGAATACAAGTCGTAGCCATTGTGGGTTTATACAACTGCGCCATCTCGTGGATCTATTTGGAGGCACACACTTACCCTGTTTTTTGTGTTTTGTGAGCACGTAGACATACGTTGAGTGGAATTAAGGTGATAAAGACTCGAAATAATTTGACAGGTTAGGATAATTATGGTTTGAAATGAAAATAATTACAAAATAGTTGTTTCGTTTTTGGGTGACTTCATGAAAATGCATGCAGCCACAACTATGACAGAGTTAAAATGTGTTTGTGTTTTTTTAATATATATTTTCGTTTAGATTTAGATCTTTTTTAATGTATTAAATAACAGGATTAAGGCTTTTGATTCAGTATCTAGTACAATAAAAACGAATAATGTGAGAAAACATCCACAACAACAGTAATAGCTATATTTAAAATATATATATGTTTATATGGTGTTGAGGTTATACATATCCCATATCCTGACATAAATCAAATACCAAAATAACCAAATTTAAATTGTTCAAGAGTGGTAATAGTTAATATAAACCAGTTGAATTATTTGCAGACATAACTGAGATTATTAATAAATTATTAAATACGTTTTAAATATACAAAATAAACTCTCGTCTTATTAAAGGGATATTACGTTTGTAGCTAAATGTATCCGCACGGTGGCAGTAGTCAGTTATAGGCGCGTCTGCGGCTGTAAATGTCCAGGAAGAAGAACACACAGTAGCAGTTGCAGGGAAAAGGCGAGCGAGAAGAAGAATGACGATCATGTTAGACGGAGAATAGCTGGGATCGAGTATTGTGTAGCAAACGTAAAAATAACACGTTTACCTCGAAGTCTTGCCATTGAACACAGTTGCATTACACTCGCTGAACTATGACAGAGCCTCAGTCGGCGTTGTTACTCAGGAGACAGCTTGCAGGTAATTAAAGCGTAGTGTTAGCCGGTGTTGGCTACCAGGCTAACCCCTGTACTCTGCTTTTAGCAGTGATTCAAATGACGGAGGTGGCGCAAACTGTTTTCGTGAACCTTCTTCAGTAATGTTGAGTTGCCCCGACAAATAAACATTCGGGAACTGTAGCGACATATTATGGTCTTATCAAATGACTCGCAAATACAGTTGTGAGTTTTGTTTTTACACAATAATTTACTCCATCTCTGCTGCCAGAAGAACCGACGACAGTCTTTTATCGAATCAGTTTTAAGCAGTTAGCCTAGCCGTAGCCTATGGCTGGCTCGACTGGCTCACTGTGTTTACATGTTTCTTAATCATTTTTTGCTTATATTCTCAGCACTTAACTACGCTGACATCACACTTGTTGTTTTAAACACACACCAGTGTATATTTATATTAATAAATTTCTTTGGTAAACCATATCGCAATTTTAACACATATCCAAACCAATATATTGGCTGGTTTTGCTCTGTCGCTGCAGTTAGCGTCAACACGCAATGTAAAACTGCTAGTGTTGATCACCTTTTTTCTCTGTAAAGGCGAGTCGGCTTCAGAATCAAATATAGAGATAAATGTCTGTCAACTTGACATATTTACGATACATACACGTTAAAGGTTTAAGACCTCGCGAGTTCTCCTGTAATCCTATATGCTAACGTAGACAATGTCTCTACTGTTGGGCGACCATCGACGTAGTGTTTCTCATAGACAAATCTGTAAAATTCTACATTGTTAAGATGATACAGTATTCTACAGGAAGTGGATCGTAAATTGACATGTCTCTATTTTTTCTGTCATGTGCATTAGTTTAAGGCTGTCTTTCTTCACTTTCTTCACACGTTCTTTTTGTTGGCCACGATGTTAGAATTGTGTTTTTTTCGTTTCATAATTCGTAATTAACACAAATTGGCCCAGGACTGGCAGACACTGGTTAAACCAAGCTAGGGCATCTTAATGAGAGTTTTAAAATGGAAATGACTGAGGAGAACGGTGTATATCATCGTTTGCTAAACACCGAATGTGTTAATATGAGCCAGAACAATATTCTGTACTTTATAAAACCACATTAAATTGCGTACACTGCGGTTTATAGTTGTGACACTTTGACATGAATACAAAAAAAATGTAATATTTCATAAAAATGTATTTAACTGATATATTAAAATGGCATTTTATGAACAATTAAAAAAAAATGTTGGTACTTTTTCCACCTTTTTTTTTTAAATCTAGAGTTGAACAAAAATCCAGTGGAGGGATTTTCAGCAGGCCTGATCGAGGATGATGATCTCTACAGATGGGAAGTCCTGATCATTGGCCCACCCGATACACTGTAGTAAGTTCTCTATTACTTGTCATGTGAATTTCCCAGCGGAAACACAGTCTAAAAATGTTTTCAGAAAACCCTTGTTAATTATCTTAACAAAGTGATATTCATTCCTTTGTCTTTTCACAGTGAAGGTGGTGTGTTTAAAGCTCATTTGACGTTTCCCAAAGATTACCCTCTCAGGCCTCCTAAAATGAAATTTATTACAGATATTTGGCACCCAAATGGTAAGTTGAGATTTTTCCTCCAAACCATTGCGAAAGTTTTCTTTACACATTGAATCATAATATTGTTATGAAATAAAAAAACACATAATTTGTCCCCTTTAAGTCTACTACAATAAATTTAACTTTATCTTGAATGCAGTCATGAAATGTACACTTGAGAAGCAAATACGAAACGGTTGCAATAAATAATGCTCAGTGCTGCAACAGATGTCTGATCTGTAAATGATTTGGCAAATATCTGCATGAATAATTATGTGAATCAGGAATAATTATATAATTTGCATCTGTGCATTTTTTCCCCAGTTGACAAAAATGGAGATGTATGTATTTCTATTCTACACGAGCCTGGTGAGGACAAGTATGGCTATGAGAAACCTGAAGAGCGTTGGCTTCCAATCCACACAGTCGAAACAATTATGATAAGTGTAATCTCTATGTTGGCTGACCCAAATGGGGACTCGCCAGCTAATGTGGATGCTGCAGTAAGAAACTTTACAAAACATTTAGAATTGTGCAACATTAACGTTTTGTGCTATATTTTCTTTCATCAAATTTCTGTGCTTGTGTGCAATCTAAACTGTGGTTTATAAAGGTACATATTTAAAAACTATGAACATATGTAAGTAATGATAAAGGAGATGTTTGCCAACATTCATTTTTTGTCCTTTTTTTTTTTTACAGAAAGAGTGGAGGGAGGACAGACACGGTGCATTTAAGAGGAAAGTTGCCCGTTGTGTAAGAAAAAGTCAAGAAACTGCATTTGAGTGATAAATAGCAAGGATATAGCGTCATAATTTCAGGGTAGGTAATTTCATTTTATGAAACTGTTTAAGGACTCAGCATAAATTCTTTACACCAAATAAAATGTTAATGCAGAATATTTCTGTGATTATTTAGGCATTATTTAATGGCTAATGAAATCTGGTGTGGATTTGTGTCACTAGACTGTCTGGAAGCCTGAGTAACATGTCTATATTTGTTGTTTTAACTGAGCCATGGTATAGGGGTACATATGAAAGACATTGCTGCAGCACATCAGGGCATCCTTAAATCATGTCATATCAATAAGGTATATATTTTATAGGTCAAACCTTTAGTCCTGAATACAAAGAGCACGGCCCATGCTTGTAGTCCATCATGTTTCTATCTGTTTTTAGGTTGTTGATTGTTGTTAGGTCAATGATGTAAATGAATGTCAAATACTCTTGGTAATCTCTTTTTTGTGCTCTCTGCCAGGTCTCAATTGAAAATCAAGGTGGCACTGTTTCCTGCACACTTTCATCTGCCAGGCTTAGTCTCCTTCATTCTGCCGAGAACAGACTGACTATTGTAGGCTACAGTAGAACACACTGGTGACTACTGCCAAGGCTGTTGAGGAAAATACACCAAGCAAGTGCCAACTCAAAAAAACATCCAAACGAACATGGAATCCTATGAACTGTTTCAACATTCAGGAAGTTATTGTAAAGACATGTATATAGGACAGACTTAACAGGATAATATATAAGCTCCCTTACCATCCATGAAGACTCTTAGACCAAATGGATAGTGCTGGTTCACATAGATTTTTACTCACTCTACCTTTCTCTGCTGCAGCATGCATTAGATCCCTTAGGTTGTTTTATCAGAATGTCTCAAGTCTTAAATTATGATATTTTTTTGGAGGAATGTCACCTGTCAGGAGTTCAACAGAGGATTGTGTGATTGAAGGCGTTTTCCATGTTAGTCTATAATAGTGTACATAAATTATTAAGTTGTCCTCATACAGTACGGTGCAGAAGTTTTTGGTGTGTGTACACATTTACGTTGCACCACCTTTCTGTAGCCCTGTTCTTTAAAAAGAAAAATGTAATGCAAATGCATAGAACAATATGTTTATATTCAATACCATAAGGTGTTTTTAAGCCATTCCGTGGCTGGAAAACAAGCCCTTTGCCATGACTGTCCAGCGGAAAGAGACATGTCCGTTGGCAATTGCGATATCAAAAGTGAAGAAAATTTTGGTTCTATATATTTGCTTACAACACCTTGAGAAAGAAATGGGCTGCAAAAAGAGGTTATTTAAGAAATGTATGCACTTGCCTTAATCTTTTTCTCAATGCTGTTAGTGAGTCTAATCATCCTGTTCAGTGTCCCCTACCTTCTCACATTTATGTGCATGCCTTGTATGTATATATATATATAAATATATGTATGTATATACATATATGTATGTGTTTATATATATATATATATATATATACATATATATATATGTATGTGTATTTATACATATATACATATACACTTTGTGTTTCTTCAAAAGTGCCTAATAATGAAATGCCTGGGCACCTTAACCCTGCATTGATCAAGTGTTTAAACTGTTTGCGAAAGAAGAAGCAATTGTGTATCGCCTATATTTGAATATTATAATCACATGGAAATGAATTGGTATAAATTTGGTGTAGCAATAATCCCCCCTGTGTTAGGTGTACAACTCATTCATTTTTCATATCCTGATACAGTGAGATATCCTCTTCTCCAGTACTTGTTGTTTTAGCAGCATCATTTTTCTTTTTGTGTTGTCCTTGGTAGGAATTGTTATGCATGCTTGATCTTTACCTTTTTTGTGCTGAGTGTTTCTGGGATTATTTTTGATTGTTTGTGTATACACCATGTTTGTCCGTTATGTTTGTCACACCTTTTCCTGACCCACATACTTATGATTATTCTGCTTACTGAGCTCTTGCGGTTTTGCCTAATGTAAAAAGACAAAATACTGATGTATATTTTTCATGTTATAAAACCTGTTACCTGTAGTGAGTTCTTCTAAAATATTAGCCCTTTTTCAATACTTATTTGTGGACTGACTTTTTTTTGGACACCATAGAATGATAAATTGCTTGTGTCAAAAACAAAAAAAATCTTGTCTCAGTCCTAATCAACGTCAGGGTTGCTGTCGAGGCTGCAGTCCTCGTGGTCATCAGACACGCAGGGAGAACGTGCAAACTCCATACAGAGGGATAGGATCAGCAAACACAAACAAATTTACATTAGCAGATTATCTGGTGTTGAAATCCTGGAGAGGAGAGGATCCTTAATAGTACCTTTTTATGAAGACAGTAAATTATAGCGTAATAAATAACAATAATATAATTCTTTAATTCTAACTTGGTCCGCTGCCCCCTCACCCTCCCAGCGCTAGAAAAAGGATGCTTATATATTTCAAACATAGCCATATTGTTATAGGTGTAACTACATCAATGATGATATTACACACACAATGATAAATTATAATTTCATAATAAATTAATATACATTTTATACAGTGTTTGAAAAAGGCAAGACATGTTTAAAAGACCCAAGCAATTAGCACAGTTTAATTCACACTTTATCGCCTACTTGAAAAACAATTCATAAAATATTTACTTTTAGGAAAGTGTAGAATAAAAATCAATTGGGACCTTCTTTTCAACCCCATAATTTTACAATGAGCTATTTTTTCCATACACACCCCATCGCAATGGGGTGTGTTGGAATTGATGTGTCCTTTTTCAAAATTTTAAACACATACAAAAAGTTTAAAAAATATATCTATGAACACACAAGCTTAATTGTGAACTAATGCAAATATTGGTCATATTTAATTACCTGCTCCTTTATTAAGGCATATTACATTTTTATCCCAGTCATGTCCCTAAGCCTTATATTTATTTTTCTGGCCAATCAATCACACCTGCATTTTTTTGTCCTTTTTCTTCCATTCTCAGAAATTCAGGTTCTGGATTCTACATTCTACTCCCAGTTCAATGAAGCATCAAGTTTTTTTTCATCTTGATGGTGGCTCAAAACTTAACTTATATAAATGAAAACGTTAAGCAATGTACACTAAAATAAACGCTAAAAGCGTCGAATTTCTTGCCACTGTTTGGGCACTCGTATATGATTTTAACTATTTCTTCCTTGAGGTTAAAGTGATTATGACATAAAAAAAATAATTCTACAATGTTCCCAAAGTACAATTATTTTAAACAATACGTTTAATTCAATATCTATTCTGTTCGAAAAAGCATTCGAAATGAACGACGGTTTTGAACGCAGCACTTCTGGCTTCTATGTACCTCCTCGTTTTATCGCGATAGGGCGACTCCTCGTCGGAGCTAACTCTAAGCAACATGGCGGAAGGTATGAGATTTATATTTTTGGTTATTGAGTACACTCCCTTTTACACTTATGTTCTCAATGAACTGATATGACCACTCAGATAGTATCTCGACGGGTTAATGGCCCGTACAATGGCGGGAACTGTTGAAGCAAAGTCCTGCGACACTCGGTTTTGTTGCACTACCTCTTCAGTGAGCAAAATCTATGGTTAGCTGTCACTAGCTGAATTATAGTTAGCCCAACCGGGCAGGGTATGTTCGTGGTATGGTTGGATTGTCTGCGACTGTGAGCAGTGTTTATTTAGTAGCTATCCGAGGGAAATACCGCAACGTATCAAGGCGTTTGCATTTGTTGATACAAGTATTTAGCGTTCTGTTCATGATACGGTTGCATCACAGTGACTTCACTCTTTAGCAATAACGTCGTTTAAAGACATAACTTCTTTGTCATTGTCGTGTTCACAGGTCACTTTTTAAATTAGTAGATTCATAGCATACACCGGGGCCAGGGAAGTTGCTCGGTGTGTCTACCTGTCATGTGTAATTGCTCCACCTGCTGAAGTGCCTTGTCTCAGAACAAAACCAATTGTTGTCTAAGATCTGAGTGATATTAAATGCAATGACTATAATCTGAACTTTTGCTGTCAACAGAACGTAACGAATTTTGTCCAAGCTAAACATACATATGTACATGCATGTCAAATGATAACTCACTTTTGTTTACTAGACTGTTTTTACTATAACGGAACTTTCCTAAACTGCAATATTTCCTTATGTGTTTATAAGCATTCTGTTTTTATGATCTGGCAATACTTCACTTGAGAGAAGAAAAAACAAATAATGTCTCATATACCCTGTCAATATACATCACAGTCCTTACCAAAGTATTCGCATTGCTTAAAATTTGTCGTATGGCACTTTCTTTGTAATATATATATATATTTTTGCTGATGCATCAGTTAAGTATGCAAACCCTGCAAAAAAAAGTTACTTTAAAGCTTCAATAAAAAAGTCCAGTGGTTGGCTGGTCACTCTGAAAAGCATACCGCCCTTCCCTTCTTGGGCAGATCAGGTGGCTTTTAGAAACATCCTTTGCTGTTCCTCGTGACCAGAAACGGTGTATGAGAGAAGACAAAGTAACAATGTGCAGTGTCAGCATTCTTTCTTCACTGAAACTCCACTGATTTAAAGGAAGGAAATAGGCCCCAGTGAAACTCTGTGGACCTTTGGCTTGGACTAATGCAGTGTTGTGACACATAGGTTTGAAGAAATCGTCAGATATTTTGAAGAACAGGAAAAGGAACCTTAATTGCCATTTAAAGGTTTTAAAGATCATAAAAATGTGTTACACAATTTAAAGCATTCAAATTATTCATTGACTAGTAGGAGTAGATTTAATAGAAAAGTTGGGGAAAACCCATCAGTCCTACTCCTACTGAGTTGAGTGTGCACATTTTTTTTGTAGTGCATTAAATATAATGAATTAAAACTAAAAAGAATGTTTTAATAAATCCTGTCATAGTAGATATAGCTCAACCAGAGATTTGTCATAGCCGAAACGGTTGAACTCTGATCTGGGTTTTACCCCTGTGTAATGCAAATAGCTGGCAGTTCAGTGTGTTCAGCCTTTCAACAGTGTCACAAAAAGTTCAGTAACGTCAAAAGTTCTGAACTTAAGAAGCCTCTTGAGTGAGAGTTTCTTTGGATGTTACTATTTTTTGGATTAAATCACCTGGATGACTGAGAACCATCACAGACAAAAAGTTCAGTAACCCTCAATCATGATAAAGAAGTCAAAAATCCTAGCTCTGTTAAAACAGCAGCTTTTATCTTCCAGTCCTATTACTAACAGCAGTCAGGTCTGTTTTTTACTGATAAACATTTACTCTGTCAACTGCCCCGGTCACTTGCAAAAGAAAGGGGTGGTGTATGGGTGTAGACTAACAGCTAGTGTTGCTGTAGATGAGCAAACCACCATGTACTTGATTTTACTGTTTATTGTCAAGAAATTCCAGAATTACCATCTTAAAGTTATACCAAGAATACATTCTAACCTTTTCAGAAGTAATTGAGACTGTTTTTGTATATTTTGTTTCTTATCCTGGTGTGGAACAGAGGAGGTGGCCAAGCTGCAGAAGCATCTGGCACTGCTCAGGCAGGAATATGTAAAAATGCAGCAGAAGCTGGCGGACACTGAGAGACGCTGTGCAGTGCTTCAGGCGCAGACCTCTGGTCAGGGCTCCCCCAACTCAGCAGCCGCAGACACCTTCATTAGTCGTCTGCTGGACATCGTAGCTGACCTTTACCAGCAGGAACAGTACAGGTGGGGATTACGGAGCAGCACGTACACTACTTATTAGAGAGAATTAATGCACGTTTACACAGTTCACAAAATCTGAACTTGTTTGTTTTGTATAATCCAAATTATAAACTGCTGATATGCTGCTATAACATCACAATTGGTTGGTGTTTTAATGAAGCATGCAATGCATCAATCTAGGGCAGTGGAAAACATTAACAGATTAGTATGTTTGCTATGTTTTGTTTATGTTTATTGGCTGTGAACTAGCGTATTGAGTTTTGCATAAAGATAAGATTATTGTGCTTTGTTTGCAGTGATCTGGAAGTGAAGGTTGCAGAGAACAAGATATGTGCCCACAAGTTTGTGTTGGCTGCTCGCAGTGATGTTTGGAGTTTGACAAATCTGGCTTCCACCTCTGAACTGGACCTTTCTGGTGAGCAACGCTTTATTGTTCAAAGAATATCCCAAACATTTCTGTAAACATTAAAACTCTTGGGTATAAAATAAATAAATAGTAATATTACAGTTTATAACACTGTTTTACCATTACTTTTATATTATTAGATAGGCAGGATCATTTTAAATAAACCTTGTCTTATGTTTGAAGATTGCAAGCCTGAGGTTGCCATGGCGATGTTGCGCTGGGCATACACTGATGAGTTGGAACTTAGTGAGGATGATGCTTTTCTAATAGACCTGATGAAACTGGCTAACCGCTTCCAGCTCCAGTTACTTCGAGAAAGGTCAGTGCAAATTCTTTCACTTAAATAGCTGAATAACTGTTTTTGTACATATTTTGAAAAACAACATATGCACTTTAAATAAATATATTATAAATATATTAAAAAAAAATTCTCCAAACAGGTGTGAAAAGGGTGTAATGTCCTCAGTAAATGTAAGGAACTGTATTCGCTTCTACCAAACAGCCGAGGAACTAAATGCTACCACACTAATGAATTACTGTGGGGAAATCATAGCCAGTCACTGGGTAGGTCTCTGCATATTCAAATTTGATCAGATTCACCATCTTTTTCTCTGAATCATAAAAGATGTGTGAGGTATGTTTTTTGTGCTTCTCGGTTATTTGATACTAATATATTGAGTTCAACTTTTTTTTTTATAAGGATGATCTGAGAAAAGAAGACTTCAGCACCATGAGTGCCCAACTTTTGTACAAGATGATCAAATCCAAAACAGAGTTTCCACTACACAAGGCCATCAAAGTTGAGCGAGAAGATGTGGTCTTCCTTTATCTAATTGAGATGGATGCACAAGTCAGTTTACAATTGATAACAAATTTTAACCTCAGTCAGAATTCTTTTTCGGTATGAAAAATGATCATGTTTTTCACAAGGCTTAAAAGAGATTTTGTGCATGATGTTATTATTTTTAGTTACCCGGCAAGCTGAATGAGCTGGACAACAATGGTGATTTGGCATTGGACCTGGCACTTTCACGTAAATTAGAAAGCATTGCCACCACTCTGGTCAACAACAAAGCTGATGTGGATATGGTGGATCAAAGTGGCTGGAGCCTCCTGCATAAGGCCATTCAAAGGGGTAGGCATTTATAATAAGTTTTGGCCGTTGCACACAACCACTTGGTCAATGACAATTCTGTTTGGTGATCACCCAGGGCATTTTTTCTAATGCCAAATATGTGCCTCAAAAAGTTTGGGAAACACTAGCTTAAGCAACAATTTGTCTGTGTTTTCTCTTGACCTGACACTGATACTTTTTTGAAAAGTGTTTTTAAAAGAAATGTTTAAAAATTGAATAATAAACTTTCTAGGTTATAATCACTTTTGTTCTCCTAAAGTTGATTGGTAGAATCTGTTTTTAATGGCTTTCAACCTTTGGTACCCTCTTTTCAGGTGATAAATTTGCATCCGTCTTCCTAATTCGCCACTTGGCTCAGGTAAATGCCGCCACAGTTGGTGCGGTTGAAACTCCACTTCACCTGGTCTGCTCTTTCAGCCCCAAAAAACACACTGCAGAAGTAATGGGTGGCATGGCAGAAATAGCTGAGGCCCTGCTTAAGACTGGAGCCAATCCTAACATGCAAAACAGCAAGGGCAGGTATTTCACCAGCCTTTTGGATTGTGGTATCAGTGGAGAATAAGGACACCTTGGAGCACCATGTCACCACTTTGTCTATTTTGTTTTTAGAACTCCCCTGCATGAAGCTGTGTCATCAGGAAATGAGCCAGTGTTCAACCAGCTACTACAATGCAAACAGTGAGTTAGTTCCTTATGTTATTAGTTACATGGAGTTGTGTTTATGTGATAGATTTACCACAAAGTAATTCCAAAGCTTGTAACTTATTTACCTCAGAAAATAAACTTAATGACACCATTATGTGTAAATCATTCATCTAATTAGGCTTGACCTGGAGCTCAAGGACCACGAAGGCAGCACTGCTCTGTGGCTGGCACTGCAGTATATCACCGTATCCTCTGATACATCTGTGAATCCATTTGACGTTGACGTTCCAGTAGAGAATGGAACCTCATTTGATGAGAACAGCTTTGCAGCACAGCTCATTCAGAGGGGAAGCAACCCTGATGCACCAGACACAACCACAGGTGCCACTCAATAATTAATGAGAGTTGGATGGAATGTTGCTTCATTATTTTATATTTATAATCATATCTATTCTTTCTTGCTCTCTATTCTTTCTTCCAAAGGAAACTGTCTCATGCAGAGAGCAGCTCGGGCAGGCAACGAAGCAGCTTCTCTCTTCTTAGCTACCCATGCGGCAGAGGTCAACCATGTCAACAAATGGGTATGTTGACAAGAAAAAACAAAGTTTATCCCTGGGCATCCATGCACATTTGTACAACCTTTATAATGTCAGTTGTTTTGTATCAAACACCTTATCTGAACTTTATTACACTGTATAATTTGTGGTGATATCTCATGCGTGTTTTAACAACATCTTTGCGTAAAAACATTAGTGAGTTTTGGCAGTCAGTTTTACTGCAAAAGTTTAACTTCTACATCAGCAACGTGCAGTGGCACTAGGTTTCAAGAGTACCATAAGTCCTGCCAGGACAAGATAATTGGAAAGCTCTTTTACGTTCCAATATTAAATCCCAATTTTCCTCTTTCTCTTTTTAAGGGTGAGAGTCCGCTCCACACAGCATGTCGCTTTGGCCTCGCCAGCTTGACTGCTGAACTTCTCCAGCAGGGGGCCAACCCAAACCTGCAGACCCAGAAGGAGCTGCCTGATGACACACATTGTGTGGCAATGCAGACCCCTCTCCACATGGCCATTGCTCATAACCACTCGGATGTGGTGTCCGTCATCCTTGAGCAGAAAGGTCAGTGTGTCTCTATAAAGTGATGATACACTTAACCACTCACTGAAACATCAAAATGTTTACATTTGACCTAATTTGTTGTTATTTTTTTACAATTACTCCAGCCAATGCACTTCATGCTACCAACAACTTCCAGATCATTCCAGACTTCAGTCTAAAAGACTCCATGGACCAGACGGTGCTTGGCCTTGCCCTCTGGACAGGTAGACATCACTGCATACAGTTGACTTTCAATTATGACCTAACTTACATTTAATGGTTGTGCTTAACAACCTGCATATGATTATACAACATGTATAATTTGGGTGTAACAGGTATGCACACCATAGCAGCTCAGCTGCTGGGCTCAGGTGCTTCCATCAATGACACTATGTCCAATGGAAAAACTCTGCTTCACATGGCGATTCAGAGACAGGACAGCAAGAGCGCTCTGTTTCTCCTGGAACACCAGGCAGACATCAATGTCAGGTACATTTAAGGCGTATTCTGTTATTTTACATACATTTTATTTTATGTTTTGACAGTGTCTATAATATTTGTATCCTTGTTTTTTTCCTGCATTGAAGGACTCAAGAGGGACAAACAGCACTACAGTTAGCCATTAGTAATCAGCTGCCCCTGGTGGTAGATGCTATTTGCACAAGAGGAGCAGATATGTCTGTAGTAAATGACAAAGGAGACCCTCCACTCTGGCTGGCCCTTGAAAATGGCCTCGAAGATATTGCATCTACACTGGTGAGACCTGTTAATATTAGAGTTCTTGTAGCTCAGTCTCATGTCACCGTGTCTGTTTGATGAAACACTCTGGTAAAGGTTATATAGGTAATAGATATAAATGTAGGTTAAAATCTGTGTTAAAAGAAGAAATAAAATTCAAAAAAATATTGTTTGCATTTTTTAGTGAACAATGATTAGCATGATGGCCCTTTTTTTCTGTAGTTGATACAGTGTTGAATGTATACTGATTTCATAAACAAATATATTTCTTCTTGTTGTTTGGTTCACCAAGGTCCGCCATGGCTGTGATGCTACCAGTTGGAGCAAAGGACCTTCTGGTTGCCAGCAGACCCTCCTGCACAGAGCTGTTGATGAGAATAATGAGGTCTCTGCTTGTTTCCTCATCCGCAGGTTTGAAATCTCTTCTTTTTGTTGAGTTTTAAAAAAAAAGTTGATCTAACTGTGTCTAATGTAGCTACATAGCTGCTTTCTGTAGTTTACAGTTCACTAATGTCAGTAATTTGATTGTGATTTGAAACCAATATTATGTGTCTATAGTGGGTGTGACGTAAACAGCCCACGGAGGCCTGGACCAAATGGAGAAGGAGACGAGGAAGCAAGAGATGGACAAACGCCACTCCACCTGGCAAGCAGTTGGGGCCTAGAAGAGGTGGTGCAGTGCCTTCTGGAGTTTGGCGCTAATGTGAATACACAGGTCTGTCACAGTTTGGATGCCATTTTATTACACCTTTGAAAGGATTGATATCTTACATCTATAGGAAAAAAATAATCCAACGAAATACAGCATATCTCAGAATATTCTTCTCATTATTTCTTTATGTGATTGCATCAGGATGCAGAAGGAAGAGCGCCCATCCATGCTGCAATTAGCAACCAGCACAACGTCATCATTCAGCTTCTCATTTCCCATCCTGACATTCGTCTGAATATTCGTGACCGTCAAGGAATGACCCCTTTTGCCTGTGCTATGACGCATAAAAACAATAAAGCGGCAGAAGCCATCCTCAAGAGGGAGCCAGGTGCTGCCGAACAGGTAAGAAAAACAAAGCAGGTATGATAACACTCAGGATACAAATGGACCAATATCAATATATATTATTTTCTGTTCTTTCCATCCAGGTGGACAACAAAGGGCGCAATTTTCTACACGTGGCTGTGCAAAATTCAGATATTGAGAGTGTACTCTTCCTCATCAGTGTTCAAGCAAATGTCAATTCCAGAGTTCAGGATGCAGCCAAACTCACCCCTCTCCATCTGGCTGTCCAGGCTGGATCTGAGATCATAGTCCGCAACTTGGTATGATGATGATGATGATGATGATGATGATGATGATGATGATGATGATGTTGATGATGTTTCTGCTCTGCATGCTTAGTAAACTTCCAGTGTTGATGACATGGTTGTAAATGTGCTACTGTTTTTTATGTTTATGCTTCCAGCTGCTTGCTGGAGCCAAAGTAAATGAGGTGACCAAACACAGACAGACAGCCCTACATTTGGCTGCTCAACAGGACTTGGCCACTATTTGTTCAGTCTTACTGGAGAATGGAGTAGATTTTGCTGCAGAAGATGAAAATGGAAATAATGGTGCCTTCATTTTTTTATTCACCTTAAATAAGTTCATAGTTTATCTTAATCTGAAGAAATGTCTCATTTTTAATCATTATACATTGTCCAGACACGGTATTTTGGGGTATTACTGTACAAATTGTTGTTTACTTTTCGACATCCATTATCCCTAAAGCTCAGTGTATATAGACTGACGTTTTTGTAGTTTAATCTAAAGCATGCTTCATTAGATTATAGATATATGTCATGCAGCAGGTTTTACATATAATCAAAGATAAAAACGTTTTCTCATTTTTTACCCCGTTTTCTAGCTCTGCATCTGGCAGTGATGCAAGGCCGCCTTAATAATGTCAGAGCCCTTCTCACAGAATCCAATATTGATGCAGAGGCATTTAATCTCAGGTAAATAAACCTTAATTATGCAATATAGTAAACAGTATTTTAAGCAAAATAATATTTAATTTAAAAAATCAACCTGCAACAATTTAACCATAATAAAAATGATCAAACTCTCTTCTAAAATCAATTTTCACCCAGGGGTCAGTCACCGATGCATGTACTTGGCCATTATGGGAAAGAAAATGCTGCTGCCATATTTGAGTTGTTTTTGGAGTGTATGCCTGAATACCCTCTGGACAAACCAGACAACGAAGGGAACACAGGTAAAGTGAATGTTATTTGTTTTGTTTTTTCTGTCCATCAAGTTCAGCATGTCCAGTATTGTTTTATGACTGATGTTTTGTTGCAGTTCTGCTTCTTGCCTACATGAAAGGCAATGCAAATCTATGCCGTGCAATTGTTAGGGCGGGAGCACGGCTTGGTGTCAATAATAATCAGGGCATCAACATTTTCAACTACCAAGTTGCTACAAAACAGTTGCTCTTCCGCCTTCTAGGTATGTTTCTGTACTTTACTGTTTCAGTAAATAACAATAAAAATATTTGTATTGCTGTGCATTATATTTATTAGTATCCTGTCAATTTTTTTAGATATGCTTTCCAAAGAGCCCCCATGGTGTGATGGGTCCAACTGCTATGAATGTGCTGCCAAGTTTGGTGTTACAACTAGGAAACATCACTGGTTAGTTTTTCTTACATTAAGAAAATAATATTTTTGTACTTTTCTCATGTTTGATTCTATTAAAAAAACCCACTGGTCCTCTTTGTTTATCACAGCCGCCATTGTGGGCGCCTCCTGTGTCACAAGTGCTCGATAAAGGAGATTCCCATCATCAAGTTTGACTTGAACAAGCCTGTGAGAGTGTGCGACATCTGCTTTGATGTATTAACTCTGGGCGGGGTGTCATAATGTCAGCCATCACGGAACCCCAACATTATCCTCTGAAAATTGCCATGCCAGGATCAACTTGGCACAGATAATCAGGAATACCAGGAGAAGTGACATCAGTACCAGGACAAACCAGAAATCCTGGAATTCCTGGACAGTTATGGATCATCGTCTTTATACTATTTCAGTATAAAAACCATTATTGTTCTAGAGGGACTTTTCAAGTAGAAAGTGAAACATTGTCTAATTGTTTTTGTTTTGATCAAAGAGTCTTTAAAAGTAGTTATAAGCAGCCCTACAGTCTGAAGAGCCACAATAAATACATTGAGTTCTTATCACAGCAAACTCTGAGCATTAAAAGCAGTTGTTATTTTTTTTAATTAACAAATATCTTCGCTTTTTTCTACATTAGTTTAGGATTGTATATGATGCCTGCGGCTGTCATTACATTACAAATCTGTATGTGTCCGGTCCATTGTTAAAATGATATTTGAAAATCATCAACCAAAAATAACATTCCATTTTTGACCTGCCTACAGAGGATGTGAGATGTTGTGATCATGGCCTTTCATGTTGCCTGGAGTCAAGTTGTTATCTTGACCCCATGACCTTTAATGCTTTTTGATTTCTTAGCCTAACAGGTGCACTTTATTGACGTCACATAACATTTCTGATCATTGGGGAGAATGTGTAGTAGCCATGTAGTGTGGCCACTTCAAGTATTGTTAAATTGTACAGATAAATGTGTGATATTTTTTGACCACTACAACTGTTTTGTACTTTAATGCAGTTTGTGCTTGTCATCGTGACAAACCTAAATCTTGCCTCTGTTAAACTTTTATGCACATTGTTTAATCTTTTATGCACATTGTATTGTATCTGTATGCTCAGATATTTAGCCTGTTTCTTCCTGGTGTATCCTTTTGGGAAAGGGAAGAAAACTTTACATAAAGTTAATCAAAAAAAGTTTGTACTGCACTTATATTTCTTCATCACTCCGAGTTGTTTTGACCTTGTGTTTTACTGCACTTATATTTCTTCATCACTCCAAGTTGTTTTCAGCTTGTGTTTCTTAGCAGCAGGCTGTGACTAAGACGGCTTTTCTTAACTGGCTCAGAGACTAGTGCTTTCCAACATAACACGAGTCAGCTTGTGGATGGCAGCCATCATATTTCTGAAGGTTGGGGTTTTTCTCTGCTGCAGATTGGTCCTCAACACAAATGCAACGAGCGCTGGGTGATCCAGCAGAGAAGAGTTTTCGCGGGACACCTGCCCAGTCTCTTAATACTCCCCCACTGAAAGAAACCAAATGGGGAAAAAAATATCAGTTCTTGGACCTTCCATTAATACCTTCTCTAATGTAGCTACACAATGGATCACTAAGATGTGAATACCTCTGAGTAGAGCACCAGAATCTTCCTCCTTGGGCAGAGCTCCACTCTGAATTGCAGGCTGGGAAGCGAATCATGTCTGACTCAGACTGGGCCTTCATTTTCTGGCCTTCAGCCAGGGATGTCTCCACCTGCAGCAGAGCCTCTGTTGGCTTCCCCGTCTCACTGTAGAACTGGCCTGTTACCACACCTAAAATTCAATTTTTACAGATACAAGTTGTTGTTGGTTAAACAAACCAGTTGAAGACCTTGTCAAGAAATGCATGTATACATATTAAACAAGTTAAGTTAAAAGGAAAAAATGGGGAGTGGAATTTATGGAATTTTATGGAATTTAACATAAAGCGTAAAAAACATAAATACTTGTTACTTGAAATTATTGAGAGAAAAAAAACAGGTGAAAGTAAACACATGCCATGAACCAGAAAAGAAAATTAAGACATTCATTTGACATCCTCTTGAACATGCTGTAATTACTTTAAGTATGCCAGCAATGATCTAGGTCAAGTATTTGTTATATTTCTACAAAATTGAACAAATCAAAACCCCCACAGTACTTGTCCCACTTTATACCATCATATTTGATCAACCTGATGGACAAAGGCCACTCACCCACACTCTGGTACACTTTCTGATAGAAGGCCAACCAGTCGTACAGGGCTACTACCTGCAGATGGGAGAGACTGGACACATCATCTGTTAGTCCACTTTCTGTGAAGTCTCCAGTTATGAACGACAATGAGGCATCTTTGCCTGAAAATAGGTACACAACATAATTGATGATCACCTAGAGCTGATGATGTGAAGAACAGTATTTTAAACCTTTTAGTTTATATATATATATTTGTCAAACTTGTCTACCAATTTAACTATCTAATAAAACAAAATAACGAAAGTATTACTTCAGTAATTAGTTCGTTATAACATTACATTCATAACATATAGTTATCCTTACTTGTGCTTAGATAAAAGTAATTCAAATTCAATATTGAGTCACCTGCCATGAAGTGATATGCTCCACCTGGTCCGTAGTGCTTATACCCATTTTGTACATCAAAAACCTGTCCCACAATGGCCAGGTAAAGGCCCTTGCTGCCTTCCTCCCCGTCGTAAAGTGACAACTCATCTTTGCTCAGGACCCTAACAGGGAGACCGTGGCTTGATTCATGTCCAATTTTAAAGGACCACTCGCGAGGCATTAACCAAAATGCCATACCCACGGCTACAACCACAACCACTACGTAACTGAGCATGACGACCGTCCGGGAATGGCGATATTGTATCCATTTACATCATTCATCTCACTCTGAACTTGTATCACTGAAAACAAACGACTATGGCAGCTTCCGTAAACAGGGACCTGATGCGCACGCGCAAAGTCTAAACACAGCTATAATTTTATCCTATGTGTAAAAATACAGTTTGCAATATCACCCCAAAATTGATGTCAACACCTGCTCGCTTTTTATACATCCATCTTGGTTTATATATATTTATAAAAGAATATTAACGAAGATTTGGGTGATACATCAAGCAACAGATGGTGGCGATATTGCCCCGAGTTAGGGGAAATTCTCCATTACTATGAAGAGAAGAAGTGTCAGACGTACAGTACGTCAACGCGGTAGTAGTAAACGGTGGACTTTTCACTGTAGGTTAATGTTGGAGACGCCTGTCTGGCATAACAGCAAGAAAACTGAAATCATACGAACTTTACGGGCCGAAGGGATTCTCGGGGCCGCCCTAGGTCGCTGAAACAGTCATGGGGAACCAAGAAAGCTCCTGTGGAGGAGGTAGCGGTGACGAAGAGGACATAGAAACAGAGCACACCGGTTTCGCGGAAGACAGCCCGGCCTCTGCGGCCACTGGTGGCGGTGTCGGAAGCGCTGGAGGGTCCGGTTCTGGTAGAAACGGACATAGATCGAATAACCCCAGCAGGCCCACCGGCGGACCGCCCAGTCCCGGTGTCCTCTTAGAGCAAGTGAAACTGAGAGAAGCGGCGGCCCGTATTAGTGACTCAGGGGTCGCCATTCAAGAGTCCGTCCTCGCAGGGAATGAAGGAGTTCTGGTGCGGTGGCTGGAAGACCGTTTGAACAGAGGAGAAGAGTCTGTCAATGTGGAACAATTTTGTGAGATGTTGGAGAGCAGAGATGCTCAGAGAGATCAATGTGAAGAGGTATAAAAACACAGAAACGAGTGATTTTCTTATTTGCAATGAGTCTGAATTTGTTCCAGCTCGGTGTAAAGGTAGAGTTGCAGATAGTTGTTGACGTGCCCATTTATAATTGCCTGATAAGAAACGAGCGACTGTCATATCTTGACAACATGTTCTTCTTAATGTTGTCATATTGTCTCTCACATTTTAATTTCATTTCATTTTCACAGAGTCTAAAATTCTGATATAAATATTCACGTTGATTTAATGAACGGAAATTAAAGACTTAGTTGGCTGCCAGCTTCATTATCATTTGCATTTGGCTTTATCGCTGTTAGTTTATAAAGCAACTTTTAGTAGTCAAAAGAATGGTCAGTCTGTACTTTAGTCTGTCATTAGCTTTATTTGCATGTCGTCAATAGTCCTAATGATAGTACAATGTTCTTCTTAGAAAGACAGATGTAGCCAAGTTTTATTAATTAATTATTAATTAATAATAAGTCTAAGTCTCTCACAGGCTTGTTCAGTCTACTAATAAGTACGTCAGTCTACTAATAAGTACTATCTTTCCCCTTTCGCTGTCAAAATTACTGAATATACTTTTGATTTATTTAATAATGTATAGAAAATAACTTGGCATGCCATTATTGAGTGTTTGTGTCTTTGTCCTTTTAGGCTTTTGGACAGTTTGACGCAGAAGGAGATGGCGTGGTGGATGTGGAGACCATGCTGAGTGCTTTAAAGAACTCCAATGGAGCAAATCTACAGGGAGAACTCAGTCATGTCATTAGACAGCTGCAGGCTTGTTCCCTAACCCCAGGTATGAGATAGGATTTGTTTGTCAGGTGGCCGAAGATCGAACCTGTTATCAGAAAGCATAGACTTTAAACACAATCTAAAATCCTCTCTGTTCTTCCACAGGGTTTGTTGACATTTTCTCTAAGACGAAGGACCGGTTAAGGGTGCATGCCTCAAAGATCCTTAAGTTTTTACACAGGAACCGTATTCCTAGTAGTGGAATCCCTTTCCCAGTCTTGGAAGGCTACAACAGCATCTGCACCATGAGGTCCATTGTGGTCCAGGACTACTTGGAATTCCTCTTGCAGAAAGAGAAAGGTAAAGATAAAAGTTTGATGTGATTTTAAAAAAGAAACAACTGCTGCAGAATGAGGGTTTTGTGTCATATTTGCGTGATGAGTTACAATACGTGATTTAAACAAGTTACATATGTTACCATTAACAACGCTACTTATGAGCACATTAAAGCAAAATCACTTACTTACTGCAGTCATTTATCATAGCTTGGAGACAGCAATCAGTAATTGTTGTTGTTGTTGTTTTCAGATTTACATATAGAATACAGAGATGAGCTGGACTGTGATCCAGAGGTGGACAAGGTCAGAGTGGTCACCCAGTGCTACAGCAAGATAGAAGCCTCTTCTAATGTTTTTGACGTTTACAAGATGACAAATGGAGAAACCTCTTCCTTCTGGCAGTCAGATGGCAGTGCACGCTCTCACTGGATCAGGTGACTTATACATAGTTATGTTCAATCATGATAATAATAGGTTTTGACCCCCTCGTTTGTTTCCCAGGCTTAAAATGAAACCAGGTATTGTCTTGAGACGACTGGCCATTGCTGTGGCTTCAAACGACCACAGCTACATGCCCCAGTTGGTCTCGGTCGCTGCGGGAAAGAAGCACTGTTCCCTGCAGGAAATAAGAGAGATTCGAATCCCCAGCAATGTCACAGGCTACGTCCCTCTCCTGGAGAATGCAAACGTCACACACCCCTGTGAGTCACCGCCTGTAACTTTGACTAGTTGGGTGTTTTAGTTTTCTGTACACAAGACGACCACAAAATACAAGATTACTGTATTTTTATATATTTGTAAAATGTTAAATTATATTTATTTCATTACTGTGTTTAAAAGACACCTCTCTTTGCTAATACATAAACAGTGACTGTGAGGTAATTCTTTATAAAAAAAAGTGTCCAAACAGTCATTTCTGCTTTCATAAATGTTCTTTGTTGTTGTTTTCATTTATTTTCATTAAATGCTTTGCAGTTTTTTAAACAGCACTATTTATTTAACCAAGCTTCAATTGTACAGAATCTGTGTGATTTATTTGCCCATGTACAAGCAAGTTTGTTCCGCTAAATGACTTGTTTGTGGTGAAATTTGCCAAGTTACAAGGGTCTTTTTTGTATGTTCTCTCAATTTGCCCTAACCATTGAGTCTTACTCCAACTCCAGACATCCAAATCAACATTAAGCGATGCCTGAGTGATGGATGTGACACAAGGATTCATGGCTTGAAGACTCTTGGATATCAGATCACCATAAAGAAAAAAGAAGTCTCTGTTTCGGATGCTTCTGCCATCTGGTACCTGTCTCTCCTCACCTCCTTGGTTACTGCTTCAATGGAGACAAACCCTGCACTCGCTCACACCGTCCTTCAGAGCACACAGTAAGTTACAATTTGCATATGCATTTTAATATTATCCCTACAATTGACAACCTTTGTGAAGGCAGAATCATCTTTAACTTCCTAGCTTCTTAAGCCCAATTTCTGATTTCTCCTTTCAGAAAAGCGTTGAGTCATATGCCACCACTGTCTCTCACACCATCATCCACAGAGTTCCCCAAGTTCTTCTCTGTTAACATCCTGGGGGAGGTGGATGAATTCCTGCTCAGGATTGCCAAGTAATGACCTCATTATTATTACATTATAATTTGCACAGAGGAGTAAACCTAAGTGATTATTTTTCAAAATAAATGACTATGCAGACTAACTGACTTCATATTAAAATAATACTTTTTACTTTTTACTTTTTGTCTGTGTGGCCTGATACCAAATAGCCTGATACTGGTCCTCAGCCTGTTTATTGGGGGCCCCTGATCTGCACATCACAATAACCTTTTACTGCTGTCTTATCATGTTTACTATGACTCTCACAACTAATGGTGTTTTCTTCTTTGCTCCTGTGCAGCTGCTGTGTCAGTCCTGATGCTGAACTTACCCTCTTAGCCTTTGCCCTAGCCAGAGGCAGTGTGGCCAAAGTGCTCCAGGCTCTGTCATGTCTTATTGATCATTTGGAGATGGAGTATAAAGCTTCCTCCATCATTGTGTCTATGTCCTCCGTTAGGCTGCGACTTCTCTACCGCAATGGTAAGATACTCGAAACTCCTTCACTCTTATTTGCATGAGGTCCTTACAACTAGAAAAGGAAGCGCTAAGTTGACAAATAGGAGGAGCGAAAGTAAATTGTAAAACATGGTTGCAGTTTGTATTGTGGAGCTCTCTCACCTCCACAACGTGAGCTGTTATTGTTTTTAATAATATCATAAATGAAACTGCAGGTAAACCCCTGCAGCTGCATCTTCAGGCCTGTGATGTGAAGAGTAAAGAGGAAAAATCCGGACCTGAAAACATGCTCACAGAGTCTTCCACTGGAGACGGTAAAGCTAAGATCAGTAGCACATTGTGCCAATTGTAAGCATAGTATAAACTCAGCAAATACAAGTAAAATGTTTCTCACAGGTTTCCTCACACAAAGTGGCAAGAAGAAGGCCAGTGTGATCCTGTCCACAGAGGACCAGAACAACTTCCAGGTCACTCAGATGAAGATCAGCGTGAGTCTTATGGTTTGACAAACATTTACTGACGAGCAGACTCTGATTATTTAACATAAAACATTGGCCTCTGATGTTTTTGTGATTAAGGTGCGAAAAGGAGCAATTGGGCCGAAATGCGGCCTGGTGTTTGCCTACAGAGAGGAAGACCCTTTTGATGCAGCAAGACATTTCAAGAGGTTCCAGAAGTATGACTCGTGGGACTACAAGGACTACAGAAACTTTGTACAAGACAGGTGCAAATTAAAATTTTTTAGAAATTTGAGTCTAAACATTCCTCAGTAGTTAGCTTACTTGCCTTAGAGTTGTCGGTTGGTGGCTGAGATTGGCAGTTAGATTAAGCAGTATCTGGATTTGCCTTGTTGATAAAAGGGTTTCACATGTGACCAACTTTGAATAAGAGATGTTACCAGTAAGCAACAACTCAATGTGATGGCATTGTTATTGTTAGAAGTGACGGGTTTGTCATGTTGTGTAGCAGCGTTGATGCTGCCTGTGTGATTGTGAAATGCTAACTCAGTGTCTTGTCATCTGACCCACAGTGTGCGGGTTCCAGAACGCTCTGAGGATGAACCAATTGGATGGTTTGAGCTGGAGGACGACTGGGATGATTTGGAAATTAAACTGCAGCAGTGTCGCGTAGCAAAGGTGAACATTGCAGTGAACCTCACGTTGTACATGTGTACTATGTATTTTAAACCTCAGACCTTAACCTTGAAGGACATCGTACGTCACTGACCATTATCTGTGTTTTCAATTAAAAAACATTGGCATTGAACGTTTATGTCATTAACAGATGTAGAGTAATAAATGGAAATGATGATATATTCATCACTACACTGTAAAATACTGTTCCTTGACCTCACTCTGACTATACATGTAGATGATACCCCTGAGTGTGTTCTCTGAAAACGCTTCTGACACCATTACTTTCACACAGTCAATCATTCTGCAATAATCAACAGTTTAAATAAAAATGTAAAATATATTTTTATAACTCTGACCTTCTAGCCACACATCCTTTTCTTATTCCCCCAGTTCCTGATGGTGAAGTTCCTCTGCACCAGACAGGACTCTGCAGAGCGCCTCGGTGTGCAGTCCGTTAGCTTCAATGGATACCTTTGCCCCAGAGAAGAGAAAGTGGGTGACCTGGAAGACCTGGGCGCAGAAGGACTAAGCCCTGACGGAGATGTTGTCACTGGCCTTTGTCTACTTAACAAGACGCTGTTCTTCATTCAGCAGCTTACACAAGACATGGTAATTACCTTTTACTGGTAAAACAAAATATATGGTACAATAATTATTTTTTACAATTTCACAGATGTCTTTGTTGGGTTGCAGGTTAGACTTAAATTTGTTGTATAATTTATTTATTAAGGGTTATATATGTGATCCCATTTCCAAGAAGAACAGTGTTAATCAGAGATGTTTTTTTCCTTCGTGTGTTACCCGCTGTAACATTGTCTTTCTGTAGAATTCTCACTTCAAGCAGAAGTATCTCCTGGACTTCAGTGGCCTTAGCCTCCACCTCTTTTGGGGTTTCTACAGTAAACTGAGAGAGATGTGAGTAATCGCTTCAGATGTTGATGTCCTCATCAATAAAAACCATTTGATTTATATATTAGTGTACTAGTGTATCACTATAAAATTTGTTGGTTTAACTCTTATTTCTGTATCTCAGTGATGGAGAAGAGATGTTAAAGAGCAGAATTCTTCTGCTTCAGTTGATGCAAAACTGTTTCCCAGTGCTGCACAATCTACTGGAGTCTAAGGGTCTAGATGAGAGCTCAGAACCTGATGATCGGGGTCCTGCAGCCACTTGTCCATCCACGTCCAGCAGTGAGGAGCCTACAAAAGACTTTGCTAGAGCAGTGTCTGAACTCTACAGTCATCTCTGCCAGAGTAAGAGCCTCTTGTAGCCTTCAGATGTTGATTCAAATGTTTTGTGCTCTTTGGTATGTTTAAGTAGTTATCCCTAGATAAAACTAATGTGCTTCATGTGTGATTAAGTTGTGGATGATCCTGATGGAGAAACATCAGTGGAAAAGACTTTGCATAAGGAAGCGGTCAAAGCCATTCTGAATGGAGCTGCTGTTTTCTTTCCTGATAAACAAGCCAGACGTGACAAACTCTTCCACATGATGGTAAGTGTTTTAAAACAGGTTTACCAATGGCAATAATGATGATGATAAAATATAAAACAATTATACTTGTTCTTCAAAACAGAAAAATATTACTGAAGACGACCAGCCGGAGTCGTTGAAGGTGACGTTTGAATCACTGTGTAATTACTTCAGGTATGCAAAATGGAGCTCCGTTAATACATCAAGAAACTCTGGCAGGGATATTGACATTAGACCAATAACAGACATGATTTTCACTTCACAGTGATCAGGACCCGAGTGGCCTTCTGATGCTGCCGCCGAAAGGCGCTCCGGCAGATTTCAATGTTAGCCCTATATTGTCAGTCATGGAGACATTGCTATCAGTTGCCACACAAGAGGTGAGATGTTTGACAAGCACACACACGCACACACACATAGACAGAGTGTTTCAGAGTCTGCAGTTCTGGTTTAATATAGTCTACAAAAATGTTGTCACCATCTGTAAGAGTACAGGTGCACCCTTTTAATTAGCTGAACAACTCCATAAATTTGCATCGCTAATGGTTCATTAAGAAACCTTAATGTTGAGGTTTGAATAATCCAAACACCACCGCTGATGCGACTGAATTTTATTTATTATTTATTAGCAGTTGTGGATAGACAATAGGCTGTGTACAGTATGTTTTACCTTGTTTATTTATTGGCCCTTGTAGTGCTGTACCTGTACTGAACTTTGTGTTCCATGTTCCAGTGTGAAGTTATCATGGTGAATGGGAGCAGTGGACCTAGCAGGACAGTGCTGCTGTCCTTGTTCTGGGCTCTGCAGGGCAGCCTGCTCTCTTGGTGCTACCTGCAGCTCAAAGGAGGAATTTCGACGGTTGTTGCCATGGACCTGACACGAGACATTCTACTAAAGTGTGAGCCTCCTTGACTAGCACTGTATATTAAAAGGATCCATAAGCCTTATTCATTAGTATAGGAAGAGAAATAATATACACTTCCACCTGCCCTCCTGACAGATGTGAATCAGTTCTTGGAGAGCTTCAAAACTGTCATTCTCTCCCTCCTGGGGAGATACACTGGTGCTGAAATCACTGAGAAACTTGGCAGCTCCATTCTAGCCACGGTCTTCAGACAACTGGTAATTGATTTTTTTACTTGCTCTCTGTCTATCCTTTTTTCCTGATGGAAGTAAGTTAAAAGTTGTTTTTTTTCTGTGCTAGATGGTCTTTCTTCTGGAGTTGTGCTCGCTGGACATACCGCACAGTGTTTTGCTAAAGAGCTTCTCCTCTCTGGTCGAGCCACTTAAAGGCCTTTCAAGTGACTCTGAATACACGCTCTCCAAGGTCGGTCCATCTCACACTTAGAACTTAACCCTGCTGAGTTCAAGTCTTTACAATTTTACATGCTAGTGTGTAAAAGCATTTCTTATAAAAGCTTTTATAATAAATGCTTCGTAAAAAAATAGAGTTGCTCAGAACCTTGTTAATATATAAAGATATGCACAGTGTCTATCCAGGACATAAAAACATCAGAAAAGTCTGACTTAAGCCATAACAAAGCAATCCACTGTATGGCGTACAACTAGTGAATGTAAATAAAGCTGTCGTCCGTGTACAGCACCACATGACCTCTTATTCGTCTTCTCAGCTCCCCAACTAGTTTCTGTAGTTGTTTAGTGTAATAAAAACTGATTTGGCGTTGTTGACTTTTAGGTTGATCAAGAGAGCTGGCACCAACCACAGCAGCCAGTGGTGCTGAGGACCTGGAACATCGAGTCACCTCACAACTATGAGAACAGCTGCCATGAGACCAGCATCTTTGCCTGTCCTGGTGCTACCTCCTTTGAGGTAGAGTTTGATGAGCGCTGTGAGACAGAGAAGAGGTGATTGATGTCAATTTCTTTCTTTTATAATCCATATTTGCACTTCACTTACGTATCCTGCATTCTCTTGATACGTACAGATATGACTACCTGGAATTCACAGATTCCAGAGGTGGCAAGGTCCGCTACGATATGAAAGTGGGAACTGAGAAGTGGCCAAAGGTATAATATGGGAAACCACTGACTATGGCTCCATTTAAAATGGAAATGTTGCTGAATTCCATTATCTGTTGCTTTTTTTTCTGCCATTTCAGAAAGTGACATTTGATGCAGGCCCTCAGCTTCAGTTTCTCTTCCACTCTGATAGCAGTAATAATGAGTGGGGTTACAAGTTCACTGTGACAGCGCTGGGACTCCCAGACATCACAATTTCTTGGATGTCAGACCTTCAGCTGCTGGTGGCTCGCCTAATGGGTCGTCTCTCATCAAGGACTTTAGCACTGAAGTCTCCCCATGGTAAGATCATTTCATGCCTTCTGCAATTTGCAACAATGCCTCAGTTTAAAATGAGTTCATTAGGTTAGCTTAAGGTGAAGTTATTCTTAATTATTAACGTGCTGACACCTTTGTCTTTTCTGGTACAGAGACACGCACAATCAAAGAGCTACCCGCAGGGAAAATGTCCCACGTTCAGTCGTCTCCTTTGTGGAAACCCATCCTACGACATGGCCTTTGTGAAACAAAGGAGACAAATCAGACCAGAACGACCTCAGATCAGGTAGGGTGACGTCAGCTTTATACACACATCTTCAGTGTTGCTTCACAAAGACCACATCAATAAATGGGCTCTGTTTGTTTTATTTTGTTTTGTACACTAGACAAATACGTGGACCCTTGATGATGTAATGAGCTTCCTGGAAAGTTTTGCTCGCTGGAATCCCTCACAAGATTTGAAAGACAGCAGAACTGATCTGATGAAGAGACTGATGCACTGCTTCCGACAACAGATAATGAAGACTGAGATAGCAGTGGGGTCAAAGACGGACCAAGCTGTAAATGCTATTTGGGCTGCCATGGTGTACCACACACCAGCTCTCAATAGTGCCCTTCAGGCCTATGGTAATACAGGACTGTAATCAGCTGATACAGCTGCCTCCTCAGCTGTCTCATATATATACTAACTTCTTCCTGCTGTTCTTCTTGTGTAGTTAATCAGGACTACAAGGCCTGTCTCAGTGAAGAGTTTGTGCAAGCGTATTTATTTGCTGACAGTATCAGAACATGGATGGTAAGTGACAAGAACTGTTGTCCCTGCTGCTGAGTTTAATGGTTGTGTTTTGTGACATTTGAAGATGGTAATCCTTGACTCCAACAGTTGGAGATGAAGCAAAGATATCTTGTCGGCAAAATGAATGATGATGAGAAGGAAGGAGCTCCTGATGAGGTCACGATGGAGTCTCTAGGTCAGGACGGTTTGGCAAACTTACATCCTGGCTCAGTTGACCTGTGCCTCTGACTTGTGTTGTTTTGTTTCTCCCATAGCTGAGGTGTGCATTGAGAAGAGCCTGCTCCTGTTCAGATTTGCCCCATGTGGAGTTACAAACCAGGACAGTGACTCATTCAAAGCTACAGAGGGCAGCAGTGTGCCTTTCCTCCGCTCAACTTCCATTTCTGAAGGAGACTTCCAGCCCAGTCCGTCTTCAGGAGGTCAGACCACTGGGGCTGTCAGGGGCCATGGGGGCAGTGCTCCGAGCGTCACCCAGGACTCTTGTGTGAAGAGCAGACAAGGCTCCAAAGACTCCACAGAAAACTTCACAAGTCAGTCTGGAGAACCAGCCTCGCCCTCTGCTTTTCCCCGAAAACCCCCATTTAATCGGTCCCGCTTTCGCCTTCTGTCCTGCCGATCTACAGAGGGGCCCCACATGGCTCCTTCTGTCAAAGACCGCTATCCCATGCTCAAACACATCCTTAATTTTATAAAAGACCAGGCTCTTACAACAGCAAGGTAAATATATTATTTGTTATTTTGTGTGACATTATTCCAGTAAAATGTACGTTACTAAATACAGTTTTCATTTTTTCATAGTATTTTGCAGACGCTGTCCCTGAACAGAGCCCAGGCTTTAAGTGTGTGTAAGGTCCTTCAGATGGTTCCACAGTGTTTGACCTCCCTGGGAAAGCCACATCTGTTCCAAGCTCCCTGCATCTTGTTCTTACAAGAGATGCTGACATGTCAGAAGGAATTTACCAGGTAATACTGTAGTAAAACTATTTGGTACTTTTTTTTATAGAGAGTATTCCCCAAAGATATGAGTATAATTAAATATCCTGCCACCCCAAAGATATGAGTATAATTAAATATTCTGCCACTTAAATGGGTAATTTTTTATTTTTTTTATTTTTACACTTTTTCTTTTTCAGTTATTTCTCCCACTTGTCAGACAGTGGGGAGAAGATTGGAGGTGAGGTGAGGCAGTCCTACCATCACTTGGTGCTGATGCTGGTAGAAGCAGTGCAAGGCTTCAGCAGTCTTAATGAAAAGTAAGCCCTCAGTCTTAGGAACCAAACATGTACACAAACAACTAGAAACTTAGAAATGATGTTTGTCTTTATTCGGCAGAGCTTTGCTGCCAGCTCTGTCATGTGTGCAGACGTGTTTGTTGCACCTTCTGGACATGAACTGGGAACTAAAGGACCTAGATCTCTTTCTGAACATCAAGCTTCCAGATCTTCTTCTCAGCATGTCCCAGGAGAATATCAGCGTTCATGACATTGCCATCAGGTAACTGCAGATACAACTGGACTTGATGTAATTACAGTGATTTGGAGCACTGAAAGCAGGGGTTGTTTTGTGGCTTGTATTTGTTTTTAGCCAGTGGACAGAAGAAGATGAAATTGCAGACTACAAGAAGAACCAGGAATGGATGGATGAGTTTATGGATGGAATGTTTGAGAAGTGGTGCGACAAGATTGATGAGGAGGAATCCTTGGAAGACAGGAGGAAGGTACGCAACATACTAATGTATAAAAGATAAAAGTACATTAGCAATCCAAAGTGTTTTCAGTCCAAGCGAATGGCGCCCTCTGTTGTATTTGACAGGCTACAACTTTGTCTGCTTCATTTTTGTTTATTTTTTTTCTTTCTTGTGTATCGCTCAGATTTAAATAGCAAATATAAACTTATAAACTTTTTTCATTCCTGAACTTGTATTTACAGATGCACATGTTCATTGCACGCTATTGTGACCTGCTAAATGTGGTCATCTCCTGTGATGGCTGTGAAAGGATGGCACCGTGGCATCGCTACCGATGCCTCCAGTGCATGGACATGGACGTCTGCAAAACCTGCTTCCTTAGTGAGCTCACGTTGCCTTACGTACAGCATACATCACAATACAGCACATGTGATTAGCAGTTATGAGAGACATGGGTTTGAATGTGTGTATTTTCCAGGTGGCACCAAGCCTGAAGGTCATGAGGATGACCATGAAATGGTGAACATGGAATACGCCTGTGACCACTGCCAAGGACTCATTGTTGGCAGCAGAATCAACTGCAATGTATGCGAGGACTTCGACCTGTGCTTTGGGTGTTACAGTGCCAAAAAATATCCTGACAGGTGAGGCACTTGAAGTTAAGTCTGGTGATACTATAACCCATTTGCTCCAAATTTCCAAATTAAAAAAAAAAAAATTTCATCTCCAGTCATCTACCCACCCATCGCATCACCGTGTACCCGATGGTCACAATAAGAATCAGTGACCGTCACCGCCTGATCCAACCCTACATCCACAACTACTCCTGGCTCCTGTTTGCTGCTTTGGCTCTGTACACATCAGGACTGAGCAGTGAGAAGGAGATTGAGGGAGAGGTGTTGGACAGCAGCACACTGAGCCAGGCCTCCGACCTGCAGACACGCTGCTCTCAACTCATCACTGATTGTTTGCTCAAAGGGCAGAGCAGCAAAGGTAAATCCTGTTTAGTGTTTACCTCTGGTTTCACCAGAACAAAGTGGAGCCATTCTTTAACACTTCATTTATGTTAATGTTGTTCTTCTTCTTTAGGCTTACGTTCTTCTGCTTTGCTGGCGCTTCTGTCTTCCAATGACTCGGCTTCTGAAAGTGAGCTGTGTCCAGTCTCTCCAACGTCTTCTCAGGAACTAAGTGCAGCCACTGACGCATCTTCACTGCCTGGCAGCACGGCAGCCATCTGCTCCCCATCATCACCTGGGGAGAAGGTGAAAACGAATTAGAAATTCATATTAAACCACAAGGTCACAACAAGGCAAAATAGTAATTGGATGAGATCAACTGTTCAGATTTGAGATAAGTCATTTTAGACAGAAATGATGTTGTTCTACCATGAATTTGTTCTTTAGTTTATTTCAATGTATTTAAGTTTAATTTTTTTCCACATTCTTCCCACGTCTTACTACTTCTCTTAATGTTTATTAATTGTTTCCTCTGCTTCGTAGCATTATGTGCATATACTTTAATGACCAGTTTAATGAGTCTTTTCCTAAGTTTCAAAAGTCTCATTTGATAAGACATGTCTCAGTTTAAGTCTTTTCATTTTTGGGTCTGAGTTTCACCTCTTTGGCACATACTGACATACATTCTTATTTTAACCATACTATTGTTGTTGATCACTTTCCACTAGACCAAACCATCAGGACAAGACAAAAAAGTGAAGGAGATGGAATCTCCTCCTGCTCCTCTTCCAGAGTTTCAGCCAAACACTGAAGACGGCAAGAAAAAGAAATTAGTCACTCAAGATACACTTGAGTCCCCAAGTCTTAGCCAGACTCCATCTATGTCCAGTGAGGACCCTCTGTCTCCTGTGATCCTGCGTAAGTATTCAATCGGATTAAATTTGTTTTTAATAGTAATCACTGTGACTCAATTATATATGTTTTTCTTTCATACTTGAGATCCAGATTCAGCACCAGAGACGGTTAACTCCCCAGCATTGGACCCAGTCAAGGTGTTTTCAGAGTGTTCCAAAGAAAGGATCCTGGGACTTTTAGCAGCCATGTTGCCTCCAGCTAAACAAGTAAGTCTTATGGCAGACACTTTAAAGTAAAACACTGGAGACACAATCATGATGAAAACAAAACCATCTAACTACATCTGTAGTGTACCCTGCTATGACACCATTGATGTCTTTGTTCTATCCTCAGGACAGTGCCCTGTGCCTTGCCAGTATGAGCTCCATCCTGCCGCAGCTTTTCAGGGCAGTGATTTCCAACGCTGGCTCTCTCAACGAGACCTACCACCTCACCCTGGGGCTGCTGGGTCAGCTGCTGCTCAGAATCTCCCCACTAGAGGCTGACATCGCTGTAACAGAGGCCCTGGCTGACAAGTACGAGTTGATGACACAAGGAGAGAGAATCACGTCAGACATGGAAGGTTGGAGAACCACTCAGCTGCTTTTCAGCCTGGGAGCCATCTGTTTAGACAGGTAAATCTAATGAAACCCCAGCGAGGATGTCTCTCTCAGTTCATAACTGCTGTCAGCAGTGATATTTCTGTAGTTTGTGAAAAAAAAACTTAAATTCTCTCCATTTCTTGTTCAGCCGTATTGGTCTGGATTGGGCGTGCACAGTTGCGGATATTTTACACAGCCTGAATGTTAGCCCTGAGTGGAGCACAGTCATCGCCTCCTTTACTGACCATTGTATCCAGCAGCTGCCCCAAACACTCAAACGTACCAACCTGTTCACTCTGCTGGTGCTGGTGGGCTTCCCTGAGGTCAGGACAATGAACGAGATTCGCCTTTGGTCGCTGCTTCCTAACATTTCTAGACTGTTAATGGCGTTTATCTTGACAGGTGTTGTGTGTAGGAACTCAGACGGTGTTCATCGACAACGCCAACGAACCGCACGACATGATCTTGTTCAAACACTTCACTGAGAGGAACCATGCTGCAGTGGTGGACATTAAGACCCGCAAGCGGAAAACAGGTAACCACAGACTAATATTCACGTTGAGAGATTTTAGGAGTGAATCCTGAGAACGTTTCCCTTCAAAACTGTTTCCTGTTTCACAGTTAAGGACTATCAACTCATCCAGTTTAAGGATTCCACATCATCCAGCCTGGCAAGACCAACTGAGAGCAAGGTTTCTCCAGAACCTTTGCTCATCTCTTACCTGAGTAATTTCACAGCTATTATTAGCCACTTGCTGCAGGCCAGTCAGGACAGTAGCTCTGCTGATGCTGTGGAAGCCACCTGGGTCCTGTCCTTGGCCCTGAAAGGACTCTACAACACACTCAAGGTATTGGTTAAAACCAGAGTTAAAGTGTAAATCCCAACTTTCAGTTCTCTTTTACTTTTCTGTGTGATCATAAAATTGTAACACTCTTTAACTCAATTTTCCAATTTCTATTGTTTGATTCATTCAGTGTTATCAGCTTCACTCCAGGGTTGATTGATTTCTCACCTGTTTCTATTGCTTTATTTATTATTATTCATTTTATTTTTGTCAAAGCACTTTGAAAGTTGTCCTTTAATTTATTTTATAAAGCACAAGTTATCATTCCTTAGGATGAGAAGTGTTGTAGGTATAAAAAAATGACACATGAGCGACTGCTTTTCTTCAATTGTTTTTTTTTTTTTTGCAGAAACATGGAGTGGCTCAAGCTCAGGAAACTGTTCAGCAGTCAGGACTGACAAAGCTGCTGGTGAGGAAGTGCAGCAAAGGCACTGGTTTCAGCAAGCTGTGGTTGCTGCGAGACCTGGAGATTCTCTCCATCATGCTCTACTCCTCGAAGCGGGAGATCCACTCCATGGCCCAGGATCCTGATCGAGAACCAAGAGAGCAGGAGAAGGAGCACGACTCTGACCATTCCAGTTGCTGTGCTGATGACCCTGAGGTCAACAGACCAGACCCCTTAGAGGGTCTTGATGAGGAGACAAAGATTTGCTTCCAGGTAATGTAGCTTAATGTTCACAAATACAGGATAGTATTGGTAATGTTCATAAGTCTAAACTCATTTTTGCTAACACAGATCACCCATGATGCCTTAAATGCCCCTCTGCCCATCCTGCGGGCCATGTATGAGCTGCAAATGAAAAGAACGGATTCGTTTTTCCTGGAGGTTCAGAAGAGGTTCAAACATTTTTATTGATAAAGAACTTTGCCCTGTTAAAAATTGTTTTCTGGTGCAACTTGTTAAAACCACCACTGTTTATGCTTTGTGCCTTTATAATTAACCTCGTCTACAGATTTGATGGTGAAGAAATTAAAACAGATGAAACCATTCGAACCCTCGCTCAGAAGTGGCAGCCCATCAGGCAGCATCGCACTGGTGAGAGGAACACCAAGGCTGTGGACACAGACATGATCGTGTTGTCCTGCATGGTGAGCTTTTAACATAACAAAGAACGTGAATCTATAAATGTTAATTGTTCAGTGTGACTCCTAACCAGATCATTGACCTTCTCCTTCAGTCAAAGCCCGGTCACTGTGAAAAGGCCACAGAGGAGCTCAACGTAGTGGCCCAGAAACTCATCACAAATTCAGAAAGTGACCTGCAGCTCAGTTATGCCAAACAGAGACGCACCAAAAGCTCGGCCCTTTTGCACAAAGAACTGAATGTGCGTAGCAATCGAGCGGTTCGTCAATATCTGGTGAAGGTCAACGAGGCCATCGCAACACTGTATGCCCGGCACGTGCTGGCCACGCTGTTAGCTGACTGGCCTGCAGACGCTGCACTGAGTGAGGAGGCCCTGGAACTGAGTGGTGCCTCACACATGGCCTACATCCTGGACATGTTAATGCAGCTGGAAGAGAGGCCTCTCTGGGAGAAGGTGAGTTAAACAGAGGTGTATGAGGAAATGAAGTCATGTCCTGCATGCAATTTACTAAAAATCTGATGCACACGTACCATGCAGAAGAGATAATTCCAATAATTTGTCACTGATCAGATTCTCCAGAGGGTCCTGAAGGGTTGTGGCCAGAATATATTGTGCAGTCTGTCTCTTACTGCTTGTCAGTTCATGGAGGAGCCAGGTATGGCTGTGCAGGTCAGAGAGTCCAAACACCCGTATGAAAACAACACCAATTTTGAGGCGAGTACTTGAACAGAATTATGATCATATTGAGTCTGAGCTGTAGCTATTTTGTCCTTTATTTGTCCTTCGGTATAAACACTTTTCCTCTTTACAGGATAAGGTGCACATCCCTGGGGCCATCTACCTGTCAGTGAAGTTCGACTCTCACTGCTACACAGAGGAAGGCTGCGATGAGCTTGTTATGGCCAGCAGCAGTGATTTCCTTCAGGATGTGCACACTTTCAGTGGCTCCCCACAGAAATGGTCTGATTTTGAGATTCCTGGTGAGGACGCTTCCACAGGGTCAATTATTTCAGTTTCCTGCGCCCTAAAATGCCTGTCGTTAACTTTAATCTTTTGTGGCTCTCTCTCAGGTGATACACTGTACTACAGATTCATGTCAGACATGAGCAACACGGAGTGGGGCTACAAATTCACCGTTACTGGAGGTCACAGAGGACGATTTCAGACAGGTACTTCACTGCAGGGCTGCTGTGAGGAGTGGTCTCTCCACTGATACCCAGGTCTGTCTGACTGTTGTTTTTTTTTTTTCTTGTCATTAATCAGGATTCGAGATACTGAAGCAAATGTTAGCTGACGACCAGGTGCTCAGTCACCTGGCATTTACTGACATATGGGAGTGGCTGGTGGGCGTGGCCTGTCGTCAGACTGGAAACCAACGACTCAAAGCCGTTCACTTGTTGCTCCGCCTCCTGCAGTGTCCATCTCAGACGTACGTTTTTTGTTTTGTTTTCCAGTTGCTTCGCTACACATTGTTTGCATGATAAACCCCTGGTTTTGGGTTAAAGGATGTGTTTAGACATTTGACTTTGCAGAATGACGCGGCTACGGCTCCACACAAATCAAAATAAGTTTCAGTGCAGCGCAGACACATGCCATGTTCTAAAACTAAAGCATTTAACAGCTTGAATCCATGTTAAGGATCATTTCCTTTCTCTTCCATCTTGAAGAGAACACTTAAAGGAATGGTTTCATTGTATCCACTTTAAAGCTCTTATTATTCTATAGTAAAAGCCTGAAGTTAAATGGTGAACCACACAAATCTACACTGTAGGAGCGCTTTTCTGTCGTTGTTTGTCTTGTTCTCAGTTTGAATTCCATTGTCACTGCAGGGCCTGTGAGCTGACATTGCTGCGACCTCTGTGGCAGCTTTTCATTTCCATGGAAAACAACCAAAACCAGGATCCCACCAGTATCACTGTGCTGCTGCCTCTCCACAGAGCGCTCACTGAACTCTTCTTTATTGCTGAAGCTCGAGCCATCGTGAGTAAAGCACAAACACAGTCGTGCATGTTTACACAGGTTATACACAGACCGGGTCCAAAAAAACAGGTTACATTTGAAGCTGCGTTGTTGTTGAAGGAGCTGAAGGTGGGGCACAGTGACATTTGGTTGTTTCACCTGTGTGTTGACAAATGTTATTGACTCAGTAGGCAAAATTCCTGCAGCCACAGTGAGATGAGGTCACTCGGTTTCATCATAGTTTGTATGCTATACACAAATGAGGTACATTTAGAGAAGTAATTACTCTATGTTGAATTATTCAGCAGCACCTTTTAATACCTCCTCCTCCTGCCTACCTGTCCTTTGGCAAGATTAGCATGTTTTCCCTCAACCCACCTGTTCTGTGCTCGGCCCTGGGCCAAAGCTTTGTCCAGCCATCTGTCAGCGCCGCGCTGCTGGGGAAAGAAAGAGACGCCCATCCCTTTTGGGCTCACTCCTCTTCTAAACTGTCTTGAATTATTCATTAGGAAAAGTCTCCAGCATTATGTATGAACAGTCTATGGAATTTCCCTCACATGTGGATGGAGTTGAACCGTTGACAGTCCAGGGTAAAGTAACTCTGGTCAGTGATGCCTCAGGCTGCTGATCCTGTGATAGAAAAACATCACTTGGCCTGTCATTCTGGATGAATTCAGTTCTCTCCCCATCTGCATTCATTCACTGTTGAATGAGTGGGTGAGTCATTCACAGTTGGTGCAGAAAGTGTCAATATCCATTGGGGGGCAGTAGAAGCACTCAGTCGTACTTGTCGCCCTGGTGTCTTATCAACCAAAATGAAAGTATTTCAAATAGTCTGGCGTTCGGTGTATTGAATGCCTGGGTGCATTGACTGGCAGAAAAATCTATGCTGTTCAACTTTTAACAAAACAAATATTCACTGGTCAGTTTGAGTTACAACTGTTGTCAGTTTAAAACATTGCTATTGATAAATCAGTGGCTCGAATGGTTGGAAATAAAAGCCATGAACGGCAACTGTATTTCTGCACTGTTTAGTCCATAGGAAAAACAAATTCTTGTTAACCTACTCTGTCCGTTACATCATGTTTTAATGCAGTAACTGTTGTAAGGCAAACGGAGGTGAACACTCATCGACTCACAACCAGAAAGCTTGAGGTTCACTGCTCTACTTTGTCCAAACAAATCTGAACTTTTAGGGAGCATTTGTGTCTGATGGAGAGCTGAGGACGGCTGCACCCCGTCATGTTGACATACGGAGTTAAGTGTGTTTATTACTAAAAGGAGAGCTCAACTACAATACTGTAAAACTTTGCATGTCTGGTTTGGACTCCTCTGTTCTTCTGTGATGGTTGTCAGTCAGGGTAGGACCAGGATCACAGAGTAACATCCTCTGTATTTGTATACGCATTATCGTGGCAGTGTTGACAGATTCGATGCACTCTATACTCCAGGAAGCTGGTTAGGTTTAAGAATCAAAACAGTATGTCACAAGCTATTGACTGTACAAATCGTTCTAGGATGTTCCTGTGCATAAACACTCGGCTTGCTGCGAGACGGATGGTGGACTGTAGCTCTGGACTGTGTCTTCAGCTGTGTTAAAGCTACATTTGCTTGGTTTCAGTCCATTTGGTCTGCAGTTTAATCTGCATTCCCCCACTTGCGTAAGCTGACGTACGTCTGTGTTTCTGGGCTTTGGTGGAAGAACGTTGTCAGTTTGTTTAGAATTGTAAAGACTTTTTCCATCATTCCACCACGGCTCAGTTTAATGCAATGATGGAGACGAGGAGTGATTGGGGAACCAAGCCTCATTTACACCTGCGTTCATCTGGTTATGTGAGCTCTCTTCGTGGGAACTCTGTTATGTTCTAATCTCTTCACCTGCCGGTTATGTTCCATGTGAGGTCATTAGCGTTTCTGTGTTAGTTCCATGGGAGAACGTTGCAAATATAGTTTCCCGTCTTTTATGTGTTTCTCAGGAAAAGAACATCCTTCAGGAGTACTTATTATCCATGACCACCGACGAGCAGCTCCTCAATCACACTGCAATGGTAAGACTTCTACACCTTGTTTGCTCTTCTTTCATTAACATACCTGTTTCTGGATCAGACCCCTGAGCACAATGTGAAAAAAGAGACAAGTTAACAGCCAGAGATGTTGTCATATTATGTAACCTTCCTCCTCAACCACCCAGTCCTATTGATTGAGTGGTCTTCAGCTGCAGTGACTCAGCTCGTTCGTGAAGTCTCCAAGCTGTTGACACTTTGCAGATTTCTCATCGCCACCCTTCCCCGGTTTCAAACGTGTGGGCCCCATTCAGGACCGTTGGTAATTACAGTACATTAGCATTTATAGCAGCGCAAGCCACAGCTCTGCGCTCTCAGCGACGGTCACTGATTGGAGCGAGAAGAGCAGGGGCTGTGGGATGGTTTCAACAATGTTGTAGGTGTTTTGCGAAGCGGTTACCTAACTAGGTTCAATCACAGCCACACAACCATGTAACCTGGACGAGATTGTAGTGGTTACAGCAAGGATGCAAAGTCCAAGAGTAAAGTGGACAATGTGGGAACGACTGTAGGTAAATGCTGCAGACCTTAAACAAAATAATTCTTGAAACCCATTTAATTTACTTTTTGGCTTTTATTCCTGTATTATGGGCTGCACAGCACCGTGGTCCTGCTCTAGGTCATCAACACCATACAGTTAAGAAGAAGCCCTTTCTGTCAGCCTCAACAGAAAATACAATGCCACAGATGAGTTGGCTGTGATAATATCAGGGGCGGAGCCTCAGCTCAGATGCTGTGCCATTGGTGCTTGTCACCGAAGCAGTTCCCACAGTGAAACGGTTCAGTTCTGTCAACTGACACAACATGTTGTCAGACAACCACACTGTTATATCCTCTGCCACTGACTCCCTTATTTTCCCTTTTCACGGTCACCTAATATGCACAGCCGTGATTATGGACTGTAAAAGAATATCAAGGTTTCTCATCTCTCAGCACCACACTGCAGCTCCTGCTCATTTGTCCTCTTCTTTCTCTCAGTAATGCAATTTTTTTTTCTTTCTTTTTTATATGTAGGCTCTGAAGAACATCGCTGCCATCAGCCTGGCGATAAATTACCCCAATAAATCTACCAAACTACTCAACATGTCCTCCTGAGTGATCTACTGAGAGAACAGAGGAGACGACCTGAAGAGGACTCATGCTGACTCCTGTCGGTTCACACTGATCAAGGAGCCCAGGTGTGAGGGAGGGAAACCTCTGGGGCCGCCGGGTGCTTCTCTCCTCACACGACCCCCAACCTCCACGCTGGTAACTCACTGAACTTGTGTGGCTATGAGCTGTGGTGGTGGTGGGAACTCACAGAGCACTTTCCACGCCCACTCAAAACCCCATTTTGCCTTAGGTGTATCCAATATATCAGCATGTCCAGTCACTGGAACGCTTTTTCTTTCTTTCTTTTTTTAAAAAGGATTTTTACTTGAAGATGCCATCAGAAGGACATGGTGCGTGCCAAAATTCCCGACATTCGCTACGTAACCCCTCTCCGTCAAATCTTTTTTCCTAAACATTAGCTCCTGGGGTAGAACTCTTGATGATGTTGAAAGCAGGTCACCTTGGTGGTAAATCTCAGAGGACGTGCAGGGCATCCTAAAAATACCCTCTAGGATGGTGTAGTCTCATTAGTCACCACTGGGAGCGAGTTCTCGCTCCTTTAGCCCTTTCTTCTCCGTTGTCCTCTTCCCACCGTTGTTCTTTCTAAAAGGAGAAGTGGAACGTGGGCGTCTCTGGGCCTTTGCTGTGCAGTTTGTTCAGCAAACCATCACAAACATTCTTTTTAATCACACAGAAATAAGAATTACGGGCTAGATTTTTTTTTTTCTTTTTGCATAGGAAATAACATTTAAGCTGAGACAAAACATTGCGATGACATATTTTGATTTAAACATCCGCACATTTTCAGAATTAATCACCATTTTTTAATTTTGTTTAAATATTATTTACACAAAAACATAATAATTACATTAACATTACAAAACATAATTACGCCATTATGTTCAGACATGTTCTGTGGCAAAAACATCTAATACATATATCAGAGCGTGAGAATAAACATGGGCATTACCACTGTTGACAAGTGAAGCTGGTGTACTGGTATCCATGTTGTGATTTCTGTACATTTAAGAAGACAGGATTCTTAACTCTTCTCTCTCTTTCTTTCTTTCTTTTTTATTTCTCACATTAATGTGAAGCTTTCATCAATAGATATTACGTCAGAATCTGATAAATCTAGACAACCCAGTCAGAGCTGCATTAGTCACAGTCCTGCCGTGAGATTGTGATAAATGATTCATTCATTATTTTTGTAGGTTGTTAAATCTATGCCTACAGAGTGTAGCAAAAAGATTCTGTTTTCTGTTGGAGATCATGGTGGTTTTATACCAAAGAAACCAATCATTGTGAGCCATAAAACTCACGACGGAGGCCCTGACGGAGTTGATTTCACGTTCATCACAGGAAGTTACCGTGTGAAATGCTGGCGTGATTGATGCCTAAAGACGTTGTTCTGTTCAGTTTGGGGTTTTTTTTATTATTATTTTTATTAACCTTGACCTTTGAACTGGTCGCTGCAAAGAATGTATGAAGGCTCACTGGTTTTTGTTTACTCCGCTGCAGTGAGGACAGAGAGAGAGAGAGATGTGTTTCCTCTATTCGGCTTCCAAAACACCTCACCTATCTATTATGTGCCTAGCTCAAAACTCAAGCAATCCTAGTTTAACTCATGTGAGTGAAATAGTTATTGATTCTATTTTAAAGAGAAATATATTGTTTAATTTGGAACTCTTTTGTAACTTTTTACTTTTAAAGGTTCATTTCACAGGAATGCTTGATATTCAAAGCTGATTTATTTGAATGTACATATCTGTCGATATTTATTGCACAAGATGCAAAAGACTTTGGTATTTACCCCATAAAAATATAGCCTTTACTGAGCACTAACAGACGGATGTTCATTTTGTATGCATGGCACATTGAAGGTAAAAAAAAAAAAACAGAACAAAAACAGAAATGTGGCCTGGGTTGAAATGTGATTCATTTCTAATTAAAATTGAAATTAGATAAATATAAATGTCTGTTATTGTTCCGCTGCTGTTCTTTTCATTACAAATCCTCCTGATGTGTGGTTTGCGGTGAGGACACAACTCCGCCATGTAACCCCCCGCCCCCCACCCCCACTTCTGCTCTGCTTCCTCTGCTCACTCTCCTGCCTCCCTGTCTGTAATGTGGAGCCTCTGCAATGGCGCCGATGACGAGGGTGATGATCACCGGGGCGATAATGACATCAAATAGAGGAAATATATTCAATAAAACAGCGGATGATTCAGTGCCCCTCCGTGGCACCGTAGCCCCCCACGCCACAGTGACTCAGCTCTCCTTTACCTCCCTTTCCCCATCGACTCCCTCCCACTGTTTCTCTTCCCTCTGCTCCTGCTCCTGCTGTTGTTTTCAGTCCAGGATCCCAGTGCTGTCATATACAGTACAGTAGCGGAGGTGACGAGAATTACCTGTGAAAGAAGAGGCAGACGGCAGGGGGAGGAGCACAGACCACATATATGACTCATGTTAAAGACGGAGTTTGATCTAATTCTGTTGTCTATTGTTTACAGCAGGTCCTGAGTCGTGGTTTCAGATTTGTTGTTTGCTATTAAGTTGATAATAAGTTTCATGAAAATCAAATGTATCAAGTTGGCATATTTTAGATGGTGAAATTGACTTTTTGGGGCCACATGGTGGCAGAAGTGATTAGCACTGTTGTCTTACTGGAGCTCAGTGGTTAGCTTGTTCTGTCACGAGTCCTCTCTTCTTGTGTGGAGTTTATTTTTCCTCTGTCTGTGCGAGGGTGTTCTTCACCTACTCCTGTTTCCTCACACTGTCCAAAAAGACGCAGGATTAGGTTTACTCTAAAATGACCGCAGGTCGTAAGTGTGAATTTGAGTTGATGGAAGAGAGGAAAAGTAGGTGGGAAAAGTGTGAAGTTCTGTCCTTTAAACCCATATGAGCAGATCATAATGAGTGATCTCCAAAATAGTACAATATGAAATGTTCATCTTAAAAAAAATCGTCCAACAAAACAATCCACTTGTACAGAACAAAGACACATGCAGCACAGGCCAGTGTTAGCATGAACAGAGTGGATGAAGTGGCACTGATCTCATGATGATGCTCAGACTCAGACTCAGACTCAGACACTCAGTGGCCTTTTGTGATCATATGATGCTCAGACTCAGACTCAGACTCAGTGGCCTTTTGTGATCATGGCTGTCAGCTGTTCACACGTATGAGTCAGGGACCACCGTGAGCATCAGTGAAAATGAGTCACAACACTAATGAACCCTCCTTCAGCACCAATACGGCGTGACATCCTTCTAATGTCATCATGCCCCATTTGTTACCGGAATGTTCTAATGAACGAGGGCTGCTGCAGATTCACTCCCATTATCAAGGTCAACCTGTGGTGCGTTCATGTCCTCTGCATCTTGTGGCAGTGACTCAACAAAGAGGAGACCAGTGTGGACGGAAAATGTAAATGCAGACAAACATTGCAGAACAAATAAAGAGTTGTTTCCACTCATGAATAAAACATGAAGCAAATACTAAAAAAACAAACTAACACATTTTTCATATTGTTAAACATTTTTCTTGTCCATTCAGTTTCCTTTCCTGAAGTCCATTCACTGTTTCTCTCTGTCAGGTGAATGGGATTTCCTGCAGCTGACATGTTGTAGCTTCTGTCACGTGTTTCTTCTGGGCTTTTCTCAAACTTCCTCTTATTGATTGCTGGTGCACCTTTGACTTTCCTGAAACACACAGTAAATCCCTGCTGATGAAACCGCTGCTGCACTGGAGGGAGCTCCACCTCGGCCTCCTCGTAATGACTTCTATTTCCTGTTGCTCTTCTGGGACCGGCGACCCATGTGGGTCATATCTATTGAGATACGGGGATAATTAGCTCATTTTACGTATCCCTAGGAGAATAGAAGAGAAACAGAGGGGATGAGAGACAGAGAGAAAAAAAAGTCATGTCCACTTTTAGAAACTAGATTGTACGGACAGAGAGAAACCCTCTGTTTCAGATCTGGTTTCTTTCACCTGTCTTCTCTCTGGGTTAGAGGTAGGGTGCTGTGCGAGTGACCACCTGTGGCAGCAGGAGAGGGTGAGATATAATGATGGCCAGGGCTTCCACCGTGACATCGACTGTGCTGGAGGACTGTGCTTTATTGATATGAGACAGTGTCTGCAGAGACGAGGGAGTGGACGAACGGCAACGATGTGTTTGAGTCTGCTGTCAGAGTAAATCCAGTTGTACGGACTGGGTCAAAGTTAATGACTGACACCATATATACTTAATATACTTCATTGGTCTGAAAATCATTATTAACTGATAAATAATAACATAATAAACAAACAAAAACACACTCAGATCTGTTGAAGAAGAACATTATGTTTGTCTTTCTTCAATCCATGTGAGTATATTAGCACTGAGAACAACTAACCAGGCTCAGGGTTCACACACAAACCAAAGCCATCGTTATATTTCATTACATATTCTGTACTTTTTTGACATGTGTTCGTTGTACTCCATGGGATTTTTCTAATGTAAAATATGTGCAACGAGTCAAAAGAAGAAGAAGAAGTTGTGGCTTTTGTGTAGCCATGTGTGATACAAGACGAGCCAATGAGAAGCTAAGAAATGTGTAGGCATGAGGCTTTTGATGTGTGTGAATGGATTGCTCTACCTGCTGTCCATCAACTTGTGAAACAAATCCTGTTTGATGGCAGCTCATCTTTGAAAATCCCAGGCTTGGAGTTGGTCAGAATCTATAGTGAGATGACCTTTACTGTGAATGGTTAACAATAGAAGAACAATAGTTCCAAGCACCGGCTTCCTGTTAAAGCATCCAGTGTGTTATTTAAACTCAGTCACCGTGACAGAGTGATCTTCAGCCACGTCCTCATCAAAACTTCCACCTGTGTTACCAAGAGAATCGCTGACTTGATGTTAGCTGCTCCTTCAGTCTCTGGAATGTAGTGCAGTTGTTGTTGTTGTTTGTTTGAGGAGTGAAGCCTATTTTCCAGGACTTTGATCATTTGTAAAATTTTGGATCGTAAGAACTGATTTTTTTTTTCTATTTTCAGAATATTAGACATTGACCTAAGTTGTTTAACAGTTGGCAAAATAGTGGTCCTTCAAAAGCTAAATGACGACTCAAGTCGTTTGATAATTCGAAGTCTTTTTTATCTCTGTAGGCTTGGCTGCAGGATGTTTTTTTAATGTTTCCAATTAAAATAATAATTATATTTAAAATTTCTGATTAAAATAACCAATAATCACATTTGAGGTCTTTTTATGTGGGGTTTGTGTTTCCACTGGCTGCTTTGTTTCCAGTGAGTTTGATTGGTTCACAGCAAGGAAGATCGATGTTATGGCTTCAACTCGTTCTTTTCTACTACAGCAGAGGTCCAGCTGCTGCAGCTCACACCCTCACACCCTCACTCAGTCAGTCTGCTTGATGTTCTTCTGTGGACTGAGGCGATGCCTCTTCATAGATTCTCCGTCTTTGATCATCTGCTGCTGATTAGCCAGGCTGTTCATTCACTCCTTTTTTTTGTTCCTTCTTTCTGGAGAGAACACAGGTGAAAACCTCTTTCTTTTTTTTAATGACGACGAGTGACTTTTTAAGTTGAATACAGAATCCTTTGGTTGAAAGTGAGGAAAAAGAAGTGTGGTGCAGTACAGTAGTCTGAGAAATGTCCTCAGGATATGTTGTCACGACCTGTGGCTCAGCCTCTGTCTCCGCCACTCATCTGTGACACGCGAGGGCCGCTTGTTATGATGCCGTTCTAGTAGGAGGCTGTCAGGTGCTGAGAGTCGCCTGAAAGCTGGCATCATCATAAGAATCATAAAGCCTCCATTAGTCCCTGATGTGTACCTGCACACTGCAGAAGCAGCTGCCCACGCTCACTGAACTTACCAACCTGCGTGCAGGAAAGACAGCAGTGTCTGTCCCTGGTCTCTCTCTCTCTCTCTCTCTCTCTCTCTCTCTCTCTCTCCTCTGTCTTCCAGCTTTGCCCACATTCAGGTTTGTACCGCGACACGTAAAAAGTAAAACTCTTTGTTGTTTGTACCTACATTTAATCAACACATTAAACTCACCAAACCTCCTGCTTTGTTGTTTCACTGTAGGTTTGGGTCTTTGCACCGAGCAGTCACACGATTCTTTGCCTTCACCAGGGTCACAAACTCCAGGCCAGTGGGCCGCATGTGGCCCAGGACCCCACAATTCTGTCTCGTAACTAGATAATTTATTTTTGCCAAAGTGTTTTTTGGCCTGCCAAGCCGTTCTGTGTGGCCCATGGGAGCTTAAGGAGCATTTAGTAAAGTCCATGCAGCAGAGTTTCGGAACCTGAGAAATTAAACGTTTTTATAATCAATCAAATAATAATCATTGTGTAATCAAGTGTTCAAAATAAAACAGCTTTTAGACTCTATTCTGTTAGTATCAGAGTCTGTATGCCCTATTATTTTAAAATTAGGTCAAATCTTTTGCAAGATTATCTTTAAATAAAGTCTAACTCATCTGGAGGTGTGAGTTTCAATATTGAATTAAATTAGTTCAGGTGCAAAGCACTAAAAACCTCTATAGGCTTCACTCAGTGTGTACAAAAAAAAACAATGCTGCTAACTGCTACTTTTGCACATTCACTCATTTCCTACTTCCTGGAAACTTTCCATGTACTTTCCTACCTGTGTTTGTACCTGTTGTCCTGCTTTTTCACTACCTTACGGTGGCTAATAAATCAGACCAAACGTTACATCAGGGCCGTCAAACTCTAATTCACACTGGGCTAAAATTAAAAACTGGGACAAATTTTCAGGACAAACTTAATATTTATTGAAAAATTGATGGCAATTGTTCATGTTTTCCCTTCTCTATAGATAATGTAGAATTTTTTCATATGGAAACAAAAAAAATGATGTAAGGAACAATGGAGGGAGTAAATTTGTCTTTTATCCACATCAGTCCTTTTAATTTTTCCATGAATGCAAAATGAGTTTCATTCAAATTT